ATAGATTATTTTTATCAGTAACTTTAAATATGCTTTCACTATCTCTAAAAGAGAAAGAACATTAAATGTGTAATAACTGGGAGTCAATTAGTGTGCCACTGATAACCTTATTCAAAAGCAATTATTTCTTACCATGACATTGTTTTTATTTTTATTTTTTTTTTTACATTTAATACATTTCCCAAAATTAAAAGTGAAGTTTATGAAGTTTTTTTCTTATATTAGACTATTGCAGTTAAAAACAATATTTTATTTCAAGGCAGCAATTCTCAAATTGATCAAATCAGGCACCACCTCAGCTTCTTCAGCTAGATGAATTGTATTATATATAAAAAAAAATTTGATAAAACTAAGCAAAGCTTTAACATTTAATGGTATTTTACGATCAGTTAAAGATTTCAGAAATATTACCCAGATATAAAGTGGAAATAATTAACATAAAAGTGTCATGAAAGCAAAATCCTCATGTCTGATACAATGAAATTCTCATCATCCAAAATACCTGCCTTTAATCCAATCATATTCAGTAAATTATAATAATGTGAGATTTAATTATACATTTGGAAGATGTTTTATTAAGCCCACATCTCTACAGTGAAATTTCTTTTTAAGCTGATGTTATATTTGAATGCTTAAAAAACAAAACTAGATATGAGTCTTTCATAAGCTGTGAATAGGAAAACCTAAAAATTTAAACACATTGATGTAACTAATCAACATAAAAATTTAAGTTCATGAATTTAGCAACTAAAATAATTTATGACATTTTGCTTTAATAAACTACTTTAATGACCAAGTCAAATTCCACTATCACAGCAAAAACCATGGATAAATTATTTATAACTTATTTTCACTTTTATTAAATCTCTTTACTCTATTTTTCAAGACTGATGTGCTTGATGTCTTTTTTGCAGCTAAATTGATCACGTTTATTTTACACATTACTGAGACAGAAATCTTTTCTTTCCACACTGAAGGCTGCCCAAGTTTTTTAAATGCTATTTTTGGCTATAGTTGTTGGGGTTTTGCACAAGTTGGTAACATTTAGACAGCCCTGTTTATTATTTTGCTCACTTTGTAATTGTTTCAAGGCTTTGTGAAGGTTCTTTTCTTAGGCTCTACATTAGTATTTTTTACCCAAAGGAGTTAGGCAATAAAAAGGCACCCAATCACACAAGGGTTTGTATCTTTTACTGCAACACACAAATTGGTGCAATCCCCAGAATCTATAATCTACCAGATTTAGTTTATATCTTTTTTTTGTTTGTTTGTTATTAATAAACTGCTCTTATCTACTCTTCCCTATTGGTATTTTATTACAAATAGGATTAAATTAATCACAACAACAAACATCTCCCTTACAACTGTGGAGAGAAAGGGTCTCTTTGTTTTGTAATGTTGTTTTGTACATGCACAGGCAGGCACAGCCATAAAAAACGTCCTCTTCCTGTGACTGAAAGAGTAAAAAGAGAGAAGATAAAATGAGAGAGTGAGAGGAAGAAAAGAAACAATACATTCATCAAGCAGCTTCTCATTGCCAACATTAAACCTGGTTCTTTACTCTCCTGTTTACTTTCATTCAGTCTAGAAAATAAAATGCTGCCTACATTTGTATAGCAATGAAAAATAAAAGAAAACAAACATATTTTTAAATTTATTTCAGACATCATGACAGATACATATACATTCAAAAAAATAAACATTTTTTTTCGAGCAATCAAATAACTTTATATATTCGACCTTGCACTGCAAGTCTTGTCCTGGAACATTACGTACATATTTAACATTTGGATACGTATGAAGACTTCTAACAACTAGCTTGCATTCGTTTGCCTATCCCAGGGTTCCTTTACTTAAACAAAATGCTCCTTTTAAAGACGAAACATTAATTAGCTGCCTGTAAGGTGTAGCAGCCGCATACATACATATATGTGTACATATAGATATGTATAAAATGCTGGACATTTCCTCTGAACCCTGGAAAAACAAAGTCGTTATTTGGGTTGGACAGTGAAATCTGGCATCTTCAGGTTGTCTCTGGCAAACTTAAACAACTGTATTATTATTATTTTAAACTAAACATTTTAAATGGGCCTAAAATCAAGGCCTTAAATTGTATATGACAAAGCTGTAGTAGATGCATCTAGAGATATTGTCGAGGATCTGGGCTGCAGATTTTGCTGTGACTGTTAGAGTTGAAAAAAAATAAAATAAAAAAAATAAAGGCACAAGTCAAAGTAACACTTTTCAATGTGAAAACTGTTATTTGAGGGAAGAACAGTCAATGTTACCTTTTGTTTTTTTGGCTAAGTAAGGTGTTTAAAAGGAAGTCAGAGGAAGCACAGAGATACATTAAGCTGTTTAAAAGGATTATAATCAGCTGTTTTCTGCAAAACATTGGAAATGTTTGCAGTTAATTCAGGCTGCAAAATAGTAAGAGAGAGACAGATGAGCAGATAACAATAAGGCTTAAAGTCATTTTGCAAAGTTCATTTTATATTTCTTCTTTTGGTAATCTTAGTAGTTAAGGCAGTAGATCCCAAACATTTCTTGGCACCCCCCCAAGATAAAAAAAAAAAAAAAGTTTTTGCAAGTCTCTCCAATCAATCTTTGACAGCTAATTTAAAAACGGTAAACCTCAGTAATTAAAAATTTGCAATCAAAAAAATTATAAAAAATAGCATGCCAAAAAATAATAGTTTTGCAATTAAAATTGCAAAACTATTATTTTACGCTTAACTGCTTTTTATTGTTACATGACTCAGCATTCAGATAAAAAAAACATATATTTAATTAACATTTAAAAAAATCTGGGGGGGGGGGGTCCCCCACTTTGGGAGCCACTGAGTTAAGGTACATCAATACAATCTATTGTGAGTAAAAATTTGTTGCCTTAGTAATAATTTTGCTAATCACTTAGTCAGCTTAATAGTTTTTGTGCCTTTGTTTTCAAAGAACTGCTATTCAATACTCAGCATAATGTCACCTCTCCATTTGAGACATATAACCACTGCTTTCAGAAGGAAAGTTAGAGAATCATCTGGAATGCTTCTTTTACATTCTTATGGTTCTTAAAGTGAAAAAAAAAGTCAATTTTTGATCAGCAGGTCAGAAATTCACAAAATCTGCAGGTCAGAAATTGCCCTCTCAGTTCTGATTGGTACATCTTAAATCATGAGCTATATTCTATAACCTGACAGCACTGTTCATCTGATGAACAGCATAGGTTGTGTTTCTCTGTTCTTTTTACAGTGGAGTAACTGATAGGCAGCCAGAGTTCATTCCCCCCCCAATGTCTAAGTGAAAACATGCACTTCTTAAATGTCTGCAAAACCAGTTGCTTTCTATATGTTTCTTCCAAAAACACTAAGGCTTAAAGTATCAAAAGATTTGATACAGTCAAAATATAAAAATAGATATTTATAGATGTGTATTTCCTAACAATAGTGGACTAAGATATCATGGGGCTATAAATAATAATAACAAAAACAAAATCACATTTGGATAAAAAAGCAATAAAGAATTTTTCAAATTTGGACTAAACCCCACAAAATCCAGTTATAGCACATTATTGACATTTATCCTAAAAAAAAAAAAAAAAAAGATTAGTAGCCATTAATAATTATTCCATTTCAAATTTATAAGTCGTACAAAACTAGAAGTATCCGGTTTCATCTCTAAAATGTTCATACATGTTTATATTTCAACACTGTTAAATGGGAAATACCAAAGAGTTAGGACAGGAAAATAGCAGTTGGTGACAGTGCATCAAGTATTCGGTGTTGTGAATTATGTTGTGATTTCTTTTTAAAATCCCAAAGCTTTGATTCAGTTGGATGAACAAGATTACTTTTCAAAAAAGTGCTTCGAAATAACATTTCTCTTTGAATCTGGAAATCTTTATAGTTTTACTGCCTCTATATAAAGCCCATAAAACAGTCAGTACTGATATTCATCTAAACTGGAACAGTGACTTGTTAAAATGCAGGAATTTAGATATAAACAATGACATCATGATGGTTTATGATTGCCTAGTATAAAATTGACTTGGTTGTATAATTCAACTGAAAAACAGGAGATGTGTTAAATGTCTCCCATCCCACAAACAAAGCTAAGGCAGAACCTAAGAGCTTCTTCAGGGACACACTGCTGCATCCTTGGTGCAGCATGGAGTGTTATTGCAGATCCTTCCTCCCTGTCAGACTCTACAGGCAACACTAATCCCGATTAACCTAGTCATTGTTTACATCCCTTCTGTTGTTTCAAACTTACAAATAGTGTTTTTTTCTCCTCTGGATTATACATGCATGCTTTGTATTATTAATAAATGTGATTGAGTTCTTGAATTTGAGTATGCCACTGTACAGTGTTTTTTGTTTAAATATTTAAATATTTGCTCTTACTGCACAGGATCTTATTCGTTTTTTAGATCTTTTTACCTTTATGTATATCTGAATGCTTTCAGTTGACTTTCACTTTGCAGCTAGCACATTAGAATTCCTCACTGTGGGACGAAAAGGATTTTTATAATCTATTTATATTCTAAGACAAATAAAAAACAGAAAACTGATATCTTGTTCAAGCTCCCTTTGTTTCTATTATTGCAGTCTTCTTTAATAGGACTCACTTAGCTTACTATGTTGTAACTGCTGCCTTCTGCCTCTTGGTTGGTTTGAACTTAGGAGTGACTGCTGAAAAATCAATCAGAAGGTGCATACACAAAATAGATGTCTAAGGGTGGGCACATTTGTGCAAAAACAGCTATTGCACCTTTTAAAATTCTCAAACAAACTAGTGCGTTATTTTTTTTTTCAGTTGAATTATACAGGGTTTATATTACATTAAAGGTATAGTGGAGGATATTATTTTTCCAGGTGGATCTTCAAAATAAGTGGTCAATCATCCTGGTGATTTGTTTACGTAAGGCTGTCCTACGTGCTCGTCCTCAGTTAGCTATCTTTTCCTGCGTTTGCACACTTTTATGTGGTGAGCTATCGTGAGAGAAAAAGTGTCAACGAAGTGTAAGAGAAGAGGAGAAAGGCATCTGAAGAGAGAAACAAGACCAGAGTGTTTTTTTGAGATTCTTTCAGGCGATGGCGTGATGCCACACCGATGCCTTGGTTGCAAAGTTTCTACTCGACAGGTAAAATTTGGCATGCTATTTGGAGGAATTAATTTCACATTACTGCTAATAAAAGTTATCTACCTCTATATTGTAACTTTCCAGGGAAGATAACTTATTTTGTAATTTGCATCATTAGTAGTTATAGGATGGCCAAAGATATTTTTTTATCCTGCAAACATGTCCAAATGTCCCCTGCAGCACACACACACACATATAGAAGCATGTCACGGTTTTTTTAATGTACCAGTAGTCTTATTTGTGGGTAAAATTTTATGAATAAATAAAGGTGAGATGAGATCCATCCAAGCAACTGTCTTATCATTGCGTCTCCGCACATCCTTGAGGAGGAATGGGCCCGTGCATGCTTTCTCACGCGCTTAATAAAACCCTGTACCCGTACAGGGTTGTGCATGTGCATTTGTTTTTTAAAGTGGAGAAAGCGGGTCTTTTCAAAATTTGCTAAAGTCCTCCACTATACCTTTAAGGGTGATAACGGTTATGTCCTAAAAAAAAAAACTGTCATTAACCAATGCACTTTTGAGATCCATTGTGTATTTTGCAGTTTGTGCATTTAAAAAAATTATTGTAAGACTCCATTTGATCACATAATCGAATTATGCTTGTGTCAAAAAGTAAAAACACTTTTAAATAAATACTTTTTTCTTTTTAATCAAAATCTTAAATCTGACATTTCTGCCATTGTCAGATAAATAACAATGATCCTATTGCCACTGATAGACAGATATGTTTCTTAGAAATGGCAAAACCCCTTCATTTCTGAAGCAATGCTACAAACAGTAAGAAGGTATAGAAAATTGGTTTTGTCAACAGTAATGTAATAATAATTCATAGAATTAATAACTGATCCCACTAGCTTTGGTACATGTTGCCTTATTTAGGACACATTACAAAGAAAAGCTTACTGGGTTTAATACCTTAATGTGTCTTGATCTGGATATGCTTAAAACAAGAAATCGGAAGTAGCTTAAAGAATCTTCCAGAGTTTAAGAACATTTTGTTGCAGAGAAACTCTTTGGCAACAGTGCATAACTTTTGGTTTGAATGTTGAAAAATAAAAGGATTCCATGGACTTTTTTTTTACTGCAAAAGAAATAAATGTAAACAGGAATCGTCACAACTGGTGCATGAACCGTGACTCCATAATGATTCCTTTGAAGTGAGTTTTCTGTCAGGATGAGCAGCCTCATAAGTAAATATTTATTTCCCCCTTGTGGAAACTCTTGGAACAGCACATGCTGGAAATAAAAGGAAAGAAAGTGAGCTTTAAGAGTTTTTGTGTGTTGAAGACTGTGTCTCCTTTAAAGCATATAACGGTGATAGGTGCATCAAACACTGCTAATGCTTTGCCCATTAAGGCTCCAGTGCTACACTTCAGTTCAGGGTTGAAGCACTACTCAGCACTGTATTTGGGAGAAAGGATGCCTTAACAGCTCCTCTGCACTTGGTCTGTGTTTTGCCTCCACAAAGATACAGCGGATAAAGTCCCGAGCCTGGTCAGAGGCACGTGGTGGGAGCAGCGGATTGGTCGGCTGGGTGGCGATCTTGAATATCGCTGCCATGGCCTCGAATTCTGCCCATGGGGGCTTTTCTGTGAGCATCTCAACCACGGTGCAACCAAGGCTCCTGCAAAAGACATGCAAGATTATGACTGACGTAGAGAAACAAGCTGAAACAAAGATCACATATTTCATCTAAATACCACAACACCAACGTTATGAAAGAATGCCTACAGTTCATGACTCCTGCAGAGAACCTCTTTCCACTGTTGAGATAAAAAAAAAGCCCTCCGGGGAGCAAAACTCTGCCTTCTACAAATGCTAAGTACAAGCTGAGTATACCTTATCTGTAATAGCCTGTTTGACTGGCATTCAGCTAAACATATCATCAGATTGCATAACAGTAAAGCAATTTCTGTAAAAAGGTTACTTTTTCTGGGAGCTTAAATGACAGGGATATTTTGCATACTAGTTCCAACCTGCCATTCCTCTGTTTTTGATCTGTTTTCATAGCAGATCATCCTCACCTCAGTAAAGACATTTATGTTTCAGTCGGGGTTTTTTGTACTTTCGATGCAAAAAAACAAAACAAAAAACAAAACCATAAATTCCAAGTTTTTTGAACGTGTTTTTTGTAATCATCAAGGTGAACGCAGAGTAAGAAAAATACCCTAAAATGCTGCCCCAGATATGACAAAGCAAAACTATTTGGAGATCCAATCCAAGCAAAAGCCCTCTCCTTGAATAAACATTTTAAAACACATGGTTGTGTTCAACCAAAACAGCACAAACTGATGCCTTCAGAGGTCACCTAATTCATAAATACGGTCCACCTGTGTGTAATTTATTATAACATAGCCGGTTACTGAAAGCATCATGGTTTGTTAGAGAACATTATAAAATAACAGTATCATGCAGATGAAGGAAGACAGGTCAGTAGCTGAGACGACTAACGCAGACGATTAAAGCAGATTTAAAGTTATAAAAAATATTCTAAGCTCTGAGTAACCCACTGAGCTTTTTTCTATCCATCATCTTATATAGAAAGAGATATACAAATAAAAAAGTCTGAAAATATTAGCAGCTTCCTTAAATTAAATTGCCAGCCAAGAAGAGCATTAATCAAAGATGAAACCAATATACCCACAGTTACTCTGGATGAGCTCCAGAGATATACAGCTCAGGTTTGTAGAATTTGTAGTCAGCACTGTCATGATTAATTGCAGCAATGTATAAAGACAACTGAAATGACTCATAACAACCCGTATAGTGAATGTATAGGAAATTACTGTGGCTTAACACAGCATCATGACTTTCTGTTAAACCTATAGGACAATTAATTTATCCAACAGTAAGGAATATCTACTAACTGAACACCTTCTTCACCTTTTCTTCAACTTTTTGAGACACTTAACTGGGTCTCAGTGGTTTGACAATATGTTGATGTAACAATGCAGGACCATTTGGAGATGAACTCAACTGAATATCTTACCAGACATCAGCTTTCCTGCCGTAGCCCTCTCCACTGATCACCTCTGGACTCATCCAGTAGGGGGTGCCGGTCACAGATCGGATGCCGGTCCCAGACATGCAGATGGTCTGCAGCCTTTTACTGGCACCAAAATCTCCAAGTTTCACATTTCCCTCTGAATCCCGCAAGATGTTGGCACCTAAAAGCAACATTAATAAAAAATATCTTAACTATTTTCTTTTTTTTTTTTTACAAACATTAGATGAATTACTGCTGATTCAGATATCTGTATATAAAACACAGCCACCTTTAATGTCTCGGTGTACAATCATGTTACTGTGCAGATACGACATTCCTTCCAGAATCTGTCTAGTGTATTTCCGAGTAACATTTTCTGTCAGAGCCCCATAAGCCTTCAGCTGATCTTTGACTGAACCCTAAAAAGATAAAAAAAAAAAAAAAACGTAAATTAGTTAACCAAGTTTGAAGAAGAACGGAAAAAAAATGGAGATATTACACAAGGATCATCAAGATCAGTTACTTTAAATGTAACCAGCAGGCCAAAGAAAGGTTTGCAGTGGCTTGCAAATGTGCCTTTACCACTTTAACTCACATTTCAGCCAAATTCTTTGGTTAAAATACGGTATATTTTTCCATTATTTACAAATATGGAAAAGCTTTTGCATATTATTGAATGTATGCAGCAGACCATCACAAAGTAGTAGATAACAGTACAGCGAAAGCAAAATGATACATCCATTAAAAAGCTTTTTACAGGAACAAATTGAAAGGTGTGGTTTTGCATCCAATACCCCTACATCACAAATCTATGTTGGTCTATTAGATAAAATCCTCATGAATAATGGATACAAATGGAAACTTATTATTTTGAAAGTTGGTGTACATATAAAAATACCTCAAATAACAGGTTTCTTATTTTAATTGCCCATTATCTTAAGGAGAAACATTTTGAGGCGATTTCTCAATCAATACATTTTCGAGAGATCAGTCATGAAAGCAGCCATAGTTTGAGACTGATCTCTGGGAGAAGCAGAATGGAGAGAAACAGAAAATCTTCTGTCCCGGCTGCAGTTAGACAGTTTAATGCCTCTTGAAGGACTGTGTTTTAATATTATAATTTATCAATTTATTTATTTAATTTTGTGTTTTTTTTTTTTAAATCATATTTTATATGTTTTTATCTTTGCTATTGGGCAGGTGAATCTCCCCTATTGGTGATTAATAAAGTATTTATCCATCTTTTCTTCTTTTAAGATCAAAGATTTTTAATACTGAGTTTAAAACTGAGATATAAGTTCCCTTTCAAAAGATTTCAACTACTACTACTGCTACAACAGCCATACCAACTGTTTTCAAGGTTTAGAGTTGCAATAGGAACTCTAAACTTTCTGAACATTATATACAGAACTGTTACAGTAAGCTAATTTTGCATAGTTGTATCCATTTATAACACTTTCTTTTTCAAAAGACTAACTTTGTGCAAAAGACCATGGATCAGGGCTGCTAAATGTATTTAAACAATGATATGGGGCCGTTACAGAAAGGGGAAAAAATAAAGCATAAGTCTGTTTAAATAACACCACAGATGCTCAAAAAAAATGAAATAAAAAATTACAATGCTATTAACTGTGATATGCAAAAGGTCTTATAAAAACCAATTATATGCACTTTTATTTTGTTTAGATAATGGAAATCCTGTTCCTTTGCTGTTTTCCAAAGCCATAAATAAACCACTAGCTTGCAATGTAACAAACAACAAGCAACTAATTTAAGAAAGAAACTAAACAAAACCTACTCTTCAAGTAGGGAAAACAGTCCTTTTAAGTTTTTACTATAGTACCAGAAAGGAAGTATGGCTCCTGGAGGTTAGAAAAATAATAAAAAAAAACCTTATCTTATCTTTCGAATTTTTAAAAACTTCAGTACCTACCCTATGACAAACCTAGCATTGTTGTAATAACAACAGTACAAAGCATGGATAAAGCTATCAAAGCATTTGGATTCTATTTTGGACTGAAGGAAAGAATTGTTGTCATCCTCAAATTAGAGGATCTATTAACACTATTCTGAACAATGTGACTAAATACTGAGACTATATTGCATCTTTAGCCGCAAAAGGATTGCTTTTCACTCTAGTTAGACCTGTAATCAACCGGCCACTAAAACTCACCCCTGGCATGTACTCCATGAAGATCGTGAGCTTTTTCTCATTGTGGTCCCTCAAACAGCCGTAGTACTGAACGATGCGCTCGTGATGCAGATTTTTTAGAAGCTGGATTTCACACTCCAAAGCACTTACCTCCTGTAATGAAACATAAATAAGTGCAGCAATTACCCACTTTAGATTAAAACAATTATTTCAAATTAAGAACGAAGCTATGTTTATTAGATAGGAGTAATGAGCTGAAATGCAAGTTAAAAACCATAAAAATTAGATAAAACATGTATTTTTGAACATGACCAAAAACTACAGCCGAGGGTCATTGGAAGTCAATAGCAGAGTTTTCCTAAAGCAGTTCCTGTGTTTACCTCTGAAAATGAGGACACAGCAGAGAATGAGGACATAAATAAAGACAAAGCCACACTAAGTAATCCCCAAGTCCCAACACAGAGGCCAGTTTGGAGAAACAACTGATTCAGATCTGCAATGAGCCGGAGGTTTAGAGCGGGCTTTGAAAGGGTGATTGGAGGTCAAGGCAGAAGTGACCCTCTATCGCCGCTATACTACTAAGCACCTCTAGGATACAGGAAGTGACAGTGCATGTTTTCTCTTCGGCAAACAGGAAAAGACATTAAAAAAGGAAGGGGGGTGGGGGGTTTACGAAGCAGCAAAGATAATCTCTACGCTGCATTCCCCTTATTAAGTCACGCATATCCATGTGCTGTACTAATTGCTATTTTAATCAAAAGATAAAATAACATTCTAGCGACAGCCAGCAAGAAAGGTTCCAGTGGGTTTCGTTTCAAATACTGTCTTTCAGCAACCACTCACCTTGCTTGTCTCAGGACTTTCAGGATCAAACTGGACTTGCTTGGCAGCCAGTTCTCTCCCAGTGTCCACATCATAGCAGAGGTAGACCTGACCGAAAGCCCCCTGGCCTAAAAGCTTCCCCCGACGCCACGTCACCGGGGCGCTGGGTGCTGGGGGAAAAGACAAATATACACACTCAGGTTTATCAAACCACACAAAAACTTTAAAATTGAATTAAATCTTCTTTTTACCTTTAACATTTTATTCGTGGCTCAAAATGACCAAAAACAGGAAACATTACAGACAAAGCTTAGGATTACTAAATTTGTTTATTTAACACAGGAAGTTAGATGTGAAATTATAGATTGTTACAGAAGTGATAAAACCTTCCCTAAATCATTAATTGTAATAGTAGATGAAATATGGTGCAAAAAGTGGCCTGTAACCAAAACATTAACAGAGTTGGCAAGCAGCCTTTGAGAAAGGCGCATTTTGCAGGAGCTTACTTTATAAGTTTTCATTCACTCTGTCCTCTAAAGTGCGCCTAGATCTTTGACAATGTAACCCATGAATACATGAAAGGAAAAAAAATAGGTGTCCAAACAGCACTACCAGGACATCACAACTGAAATGGATTGCCCCTGCAATAAAGACACACTTCTCAATACCTTTTACTCTACTGAGGAAATAATATTTTCTGTCAACAATTGACCTATTTTGGAATTATCTGTACTGAATAAAGGACTTTGTGATTTGTAGCAAACAAAAACAGTCTAGGGATAACAGTTCTTTGATCAAAGCAAGTAAGTAAATAGCTTGAATCCCAGTTGAAGCTTAATTGCTTGGAGTCCACATGTTCTCATACATGGAGGTTTAAAAGGCCTCTCTAAAGTGATGCATGTATCTCTGTCCTGTGGTGAGGGCTGGACAATTTACCAATAAAACTGATTATTCATCTTTTAGTTTTATGGAGATTGAATTTTTTGAAAATTTAGATTTTTTTTCCCCCACCAATGCCCTCCTTAGGCTGCCATAGCTCAGTTTGACATCAATTCATCACTTTGGTTCTTAGATGTCTTCTCATAACTGATTAACCAACTCAGTGTGTAATACCACAAGCTGCAGAAATTTACTATGTTCGGTTTTTGATTTTTTTGTTATAAGCATAATTTTTTACAGGCATGTTTCACAGCGTTAATTTCATTGCCCTATAAATCAAGGTTAACATAAAAAAGGATGAAAGTATCTCAAGTAATGCTTTCCATTTGTAATTTTTTGAAAATAAAAATTTAAAATAAAGATAAAAGAAAAAAATAAACTGGATTTAGTAGGAAAAAAACAAAAATTACAATTGTAAACAATATTACCCAGCCCTACCTGGGCTTACCCTATTGGCACATATATATATTAACCTATAGAATATTGTAATAATGTGCAGCCCTTGTTTGGTTCTAAGAAACACAAATGAAAGAGGGCATGTGTTACACCCAAGAACCAGACCAGGAGCAATAACCAATTAAAACCAAGCTTTTAGGGTGACATGAGAGTTACATCATATTATCCAACCAATGAGAAAATGGGAAACTGAAATCAGGGAATCAGATCAAAGAAAAAAATTTAAAATCATGTAACTTCTTCTTGAAATATATGTATATATATTTTTGCAGATAACTCTTTCATTTCCAATACAGCGATAAATTAATGAGTCTTAGTTTTGTACAGTTTAAAATAAATACAAATCAGAAAATATGTAAATAGCTAGATCAGTCCTTACACTTGTGGGCAACAGAACGTTCATGTGGACGCAGCCTGCCTTGTAGGTCCAACTGCTGCCTGCTTCCTAGACTCTCTTCACTGCCATTAAGCGATCGTCGTGAGGGCACCAGAGTAAACAGGTTTCCCTGGGGACGACGGATGCGCGGAAATGTTCGACGACCTAGAAAATGCAACAGAATAGTTGCTTAGATTACCATATCTTTTTGAGAGGGGAAAAAAATATATATTTAAATGAAAATATATTTCTTACCTTCACTGTGGTCTTTGTAATGCAGGGAAACATGGTACCTGCGAGGGTAGGTGCCTCCCTTTCCTGCTACCCTGTCATACACATGATTCTCCCGGTCTAAAGAGAAAATCATTTACAGGTCATCACCTTTAAGTTCAAGGTAAACGTTTAAAGCTCAAAAATGGAGTCGTTCATGTTTCAGTCCTAGTTATACCCACTAACTGTGTAGAAATAAAAAAAAAAAAAAAATAATGGCCAGCTGAAAATAAAGAACATCTAATGGCTTTAAAGTGGTACCATCTTTACTGATTAGATTTTGAGCACTGGCATTTTTATGATCAGATAAGGATTTTTCTAGCACATAATTTTTGCACTGCTAAAGATTAAACTTCAGTTTGTCTCTCACCTGATATCTCTTGCCGGTTATCTGGGTAACTCTTGGCTCTGTGCATGCGAGACTTCCTCATTGATGGGCTGTGGAAAACAAAAAAAAAGTTCCTGGGATCTATGCAAAGTAAACTACCACTTATTTCAACTTTAATATTAGTAAATCAGTCAATTATTAGCGGAATTTTTTTTAGAAGAGGTATAACATTTGCAACAAACGGTATCTTTATTGGGAGCATGGGCTGCCAAGGTTACCTCTTAATCTGATATGCAGAATATCCTCATTACCTTTCTGAGTTGCTGTCCAGAGACTGACAGCTTCCAGAAACTGAATTCTCTGCACTGCTCCAGGGATCCAAAACCTGCTTAAACCAAAGTGGACAAGAGAAGGACGGAAGGAAGGAAGAGCACACACATCTCACTATGGAGCTTTAAGAGAACCTATAATCAAAAGCTAAAGAACATTTCTACCAATCTGTGGATGTTTAACTTTGTATCTTTGCAAAACAAGTTTAACTGAAGTTTAAGAGACATTATGTAAACTTTAACTGAAAAATATCTTTTTGTTTGACTCTTTATGACTAAAACATTGTTAGACGAGCAGAATGACACCTCAGTAGTTCAGCACCGATGCACACCTATTGTCCTGAATGTACTTTGGGTTTAAAGTCCCCGCCCCCTTTTTGGATGTGACATCAAACATAGCCATATTAAATTGTCCAACCTAGCAAATTGAAGCGTTTTATTTAAGTTGGGCTTTTTTTTGGATAATCAGAAGCAACCGGCATCAAAGCTCAACTCAGACACCAATGGTGACTCCAGGGAAGGTGAAAAAAGTTAAATAAAAATAAAAATCCTTGTTAAGTAAGAGCACAAGCCGTGAGGGCTAGCAGAATAGTGCTGTAGCTCTGAGTTTTGGCCACAGGTGGTAGTATCATTAGAAAACTCTATGATGCCTATTTAAGGGTTTAAAGTAATACAATTATTCCTTTATTACTACATTCTGCAAGGAGGAGCTTTGAAATTGCACACATATATGCTGTAAGTAGTAGAAGTATACATGAAACAGAAAGACAGGACAGATGCTTCTTTTGTTTCCTGTTAGGCAAGCTTATTCTTGTGAAGTAATGCAATCTAGAAAGAAAGCCTTTCTTTCTCCTCAGATTACCAAGTTCTGCTTTAATGAGAGAACTCATTTAAGGCTCTAATAACAACTTGTTCATGTTATCATTTTAGAGCAGGCAGTGGATCCTGTCTTAGCATGCTTTTCTTTTTTTAAGAGATGACTCACACACTGATCGCTGGTTTCTGGGATGAACTCCCCCTCACTGTTGATGCTGGTGTAAGAACCTTGTCGGGCAATCCTCTGCTGACGCTCAGGGACGTATCCAGGAGGAGGGGAACTTCGTCCCGTGTTCTGGGAACCTTTAGTCAGACAAAAAAACAACATGTGACATTAAGGAAAGCCTTAAACAACTTTAGTTTTTATTTTTTTAAAAAGCACACAGTAGTCATCTTTAGTTTATGTGCTAAACTAGTTTGCCAAACGGCACCAAGCACATTTATTAGCACCCTGATCAAAGATGTACAAAAATAATTTGACTAAATAAATATCTTACTGCAAAAGCTAACAGTGAATGAACACTAACACTCTAAATATTAGAACACTGGTTATTTAAATACATTATTAATCAAATAAATGCTTTAAACAAATCACTTTGTACAGCCCCCCCTTTTATCAATATTATACATAGTCTGTGTCTCTGACAGGTCACAAGGTTCAACTATAATGGGAGCTATTCTAAATTGTAAAAACTTTACAGATCATTTGGCTTCCTGTGTTCGTTTGTATACTTTCTTTTTATCAGCTTTTCCACTTTTTCTATAACTGAGGTATGGAGATAAAAATATCACCGGTTAGGGTTTTTTGCCTGCATTCTGTTGAACCATTTTATGTCTTGGATTTTAAACGTTAAGATCATATAAACTAATTTTAGTATTCTAAGACTAGATACTAAAAAGAACTTGCAGGCACAATATTTTGCACACAAGCACTCAGACCTTTTGGTCATTTTTTAAAGGGGAATTGAATGGCAGTCGCTAAGGCTTGATTAAAGTCTTTTAAAGATTTTCCTAAAACACTCATTTCTTTTACGATTTTAAAGTCCAAAAAGTATTTTCTTTTAAAGCCTGGAGAACTACTGCTGAAGGTTACAGTAAAGGATTTTGGTAGTTTGAACTGTTTGCACTGTAATGTAATGTATCCATGAAAACAGGTGTTTTGTTTTACTTTTCTATAAGCCTAAAAGTAAACTTTCAGCCGATTAGCCTCCATACAGAAGACTTTAAGCTTTCAAAACTTGCTGTTGTTATACAGTCAAGCTTTAAAGCCCTTCTGCTCAGGATAAAAGAAGCCGCTAAAACCAGACCACTTGCCAACGCGGTAATAGCATTCTGTAATCTTACTGGCTGCGAGCCAGCAGGCAGTATGTGTGATTGTGGAAAGGAAAAGGAAGTGAATGTATTTCAAGAAAGGAAAGTAACTGTAAGTTCGGTAGAAAATAAAAGCAACCAGGGAACTGTTAGCAATTATGGCTATTAGGTCCTCTGGGATTAATAATCAAAAGATGTACCTGTTGATAGGTGGCGCCCTCTGGGTTCAGAGGGTTGGTACGCTGTACTAACATCTCCAGTGGAGTGGGAGGCCTTAATCCTCACCTGCTTACATGACAATTGGTGAGAGTTGGAGGACGCCTGCAGTTATAAGGAGGAAACAAACAAGGTTCTTAAAAAATGATGGAACAACTTGTGCATGTATGCAGGCATGTAGTTAAAACATCAAAATACGGAACTTTTATTTTTCACAACATTTGATTTAGACATGGAAGTTGTGCAACCATATGTTGTGAATTTATGTCCGGATTATGTATCTCACATTGCTGAGCTCTTGAGAAAGAAGCATTATCCTGATACTTTTCATACAGGAGCTTCTGTCAAGCAGGTCTACTGCCTTATCCAGGTCATCCTGACCTCGTAGAGGAATCGACATCTGTTTGGAAGAAAAAGCAAAAGGACAACGGACAACACAAGAAATTAAACCAAAGCTTACAAAGTAGTAGAACAGATTTTAAAATGCATAAATGGTTGATTTTCTTACAGAGTTAGAAAAAAAGGCATTTATTTGCATGTATATCCAAGTTCATTTAAATGTTTTTTTTATTCAATCACTTACTATACTTTTGCACATCAAAGTAAATAGGAGTCTTTACTATGAGTCTTCTGTTAACCGATAGCAAAAACACATGCTTTGAGGATATCCATCAGTGGTTTTACTACAGCTGACCATATTTACTTTTTATCATTTTCCCACTTGGTGTATCTAAACCTCTGACTGTAACTGCAATGTGCAATAGAGAAGCTGGTGAAATAGGTTATGATATCGTAATATCTGAACTTGGAGCTGATAGACTAAAAGAAAACAAAAAAACAACTGGGACGATAATGATCTCAGAGAATACTTTGATTTTAAAGAGTAATACAAATGAATTCAAAATGTTCACTCAGTTGCTGTTTTTCAATTACAGAAATTGTATGTTCTTTTTTACTGATGCAACCTTAAAAAGTGTACCGTAGTTTAAAATAATTCTATGTTTTAAAATGAAAAACAAGAACTAGTGATATGAAGAACTGAAAGGTCTATTTTTAGGTGGAATATAGTGTGACGTCAAGCAGCATCTCTCTGTGTTGTTCTTCATTCTCATATTTACAGGCTGGGCCGGCCACATGCATGCATGTCCTTATGAATAACTGACGCTCACAGCTTAAACCCTTGTGGCCCAGAGACAGCAGCGTGGCGTATGAGCAAAATGGAGTAGAGTGCACCCAGTGGATCGAAACGTTCAGCTTAAGAAAATCATTGGCCAAAATAAAGCTGCATTTGCCAAAAAACATTCTTTCCTAGACCACAACTTATTCAGTATACAGGTTCCCTCTGAATGTGATCTGTTTTGCTGTGATTTGAAACTTTGCAAATATGTGCAGATGTGTGTGTGTGTGTGTGGGGTGGGGGGGGGTCTTGGATTGGAGAGAATTCACTCGTCACACATCTTGTTTTGGTCTTCAGACAGTGATCAATATCCCATCGAGTGGTAAAATTTTCCTTATTTTTTTTTTTATGTTTACCTAAATTAATATGTTACCACTGCTAATAATGACAAAAAAATGGAAAATGCTCAATGTAAGTTGCCTTCCCTGTCAAATTACATCAAGCTCTCTCGTTTACAAAGAAATGCTGACAGAGACAGGACTACTGAGGAGATAAACAAAGACTGAGAGAAAAACACGGCTCAGACTTTCACCTCATTGTTCATATAATGGAGCTCAAGCTTCTGGCCAAAGATACTCTTTACTTTTTCCTGAATTTCCTCAAATTGCACAGGCCTTCCAAACACCAAGATCCTGTACAGAAAAAAAAATCATGAGAGATTTATACCAGCTGGTAGGGAAACAGTGCTTGACTTACAAGCACACATGCAAAGAAAATACACAAAAGCTGCCATTTTTTTAGTGTGTGCAGATCCTTCTAAATACACCTTGCATATTTGTGGCTTGTGTTGGCAGCAGCATGCTAACCACAGTCCTTTCCCTTACCATTCTCCAGCTCACATACCTTTCAGATTAAAATGCTGGACTGCTCCTTCTCATGAACTGGAACATGTGACATGAACAGCAGCCGACGAGAGTGTGTTTTACAACCAGTGTAAACTCATGCTCTCCCTTATTTACAAATGTACATTGCTTACTATGTATGTACAGAGTCCTAACTTATATACTTACAAATGAAAATCTAAGTAAACATACCTTTTTTCTCCCGAGTATTCAAACTTTATCCTGACATCATCCTAAAAGAAAAAATAGGCAATACAAGGTCAGAGAGTTCTTTTTTTCCGTCGGCATTTACATGAACTCACGTCCATTCATACAGAATACTACGATTTGTTTTGGTGAAAGACACAATTATTTTTTTGTAGAAAACATAAATCAGAAGGGCTAATAAAGCCATACAGTTAAAACTTGCTGATATGGTTCTAATGAAACTTAGACTTAAACAGATTTATTTATTTTCGTTTAGAAAAGCTCTCTAGACAATTTCATTTTTTTAAAGTGCAGCCTTGATAAGGTAAGCAGCAGTTGTTGAGCTACTACTAAACTAATACGCGGTAACTTATAGTAACAGACCAAGATGGTGTTTTACACACAGGCCTAATCTGCTAATTTCGGCCAGCAGTTTTTTTGTTTTGTCTTTGAACTCTGAAGTTTTAAAATGATGCAGAATGTCTTGCTTATTACTGAATAATGAACTTTAACTGAAGTAGATGACACTTGCAGTTCTTTAGACCTTGTTCAGTATCCATTTAGGAGTTGTCTATGAGCTCTTAAAGTAACTTTAGTAGGATTTCCAATGTTTTCTCCAGTTTTGCCTTAAATTAGGTTTTAACTTTGAGCTTTGTAACTTTTTTAATACCAATATAATTTTCCTAAAAGTTTAATTTAGCTTGCCCTTATTTTTGATGAGCTTCTGCACTGTGAAACTAGGACATAATAACCGCAGATACCAATAAATGCATCCTCCCTATGCAGTAGTGTCTGCTGGGGTCTTGCTCAGTAGCTGAGTTTTAGAGAGGATGCTTCCGGTGCAGCCTTACAAGCAATTTCTGCAAAATAATTCTGTAACTGCAGCTACACTTTGTAGAAATTTCCTGTAACCTCCACGTAGAGATATAACCTTCACAATTTTGATGATATCTTACTAGGGTTCCAGGGCGTTAGGAAAGCATTAGTGATGCTTAGTCGTCATAATGACAATCACCAAGGCAATAAATAAACAAATAGATAACAGCATTAATCTCTCTGAAAATAATACTTCCATCTCAACAAAGTATGATTCAAAGGTTTCAGCATTAAAGCACAGTTATAGTTTTATAATGACATCACCAACTCATCAAATCCTTGTCATATCAAGTTTATCAACAAATATATTACAGGCACTGAGAGTCAATTTAAATAAATAACTGAAACTATTTAAACACTGTATTGTAGTACATCTGAAATGCAATGCAAATGAAATGTTGTATATATTAATATAGTAAAAATACTGCACATTTTTATATACTTGGTATCACTGACTTTGATCATGCAGACTTATAAATTAAATCACTAACATGACGAAAGGAAGGAGACAGCCGTTATGAGCTAATGTTCTTTTAAGAACATAAGTGATCATTTCACAGCGAGATAAGGATGAAATTGAGTTATGGTAAATCTGTGGAAGTTTGTTAAAATCACAGTCACTAGAGAAATAAGAGGAGACAGTCATCGACAAAGGTGCATAACTCACAAAAACTCTAAGCAGCTGCTTCATTTCTGAAAAATACAAATGAGCCACACGTGATTCGTGTAAAGACGCCTGAAACATAACTTTGAATGAGCGATTTTCTTCCCCTTTTATCACTGATGGCTGTTAAGCCAGGAGATGGCTAGATTTAAAGGGGAAAAATAACATTAGCCTCAAACTGTCTTGAATTGATGCAGCATAGTTTAAAAATGAAAAAGAATCTACAAAATGTTTAGCCCTCTGCCTTAACAACTTCTAATCCAAATATTCCGGTAAATAAGAGGCAAATTTGACATTTTAATGACTAACCTTATGCTGAAATAAATTTTTATCCCAATCAATTGTTTTAAACCTGGAAAACTCAATGGAAGTGCGGTGAAAATAAAGACTCCAAACGATAATAATTGCTGCAGGAAAAAAAATTCCTTTATTGACTTCTTGATTATTCAAGTCAAAAAATAATCAAGCTAGGCTTGTTCAAAATAAATCAGTTCTTTTTAATTCTAACAATTGATGCAAAGACTGAATTGCATTGATTAGGTCAAGGTATCTTATGAATACTATATTTTCAATCTACCAAGGATTTGGTTGATTTTAGAATTTGTTTGATAATCTAAACAATATAGTTATATAAGTGATGTACTTTTCCCCCAAAAAGCATTAAATTCTGATATTTTATTTAAAAAATTTGGAATTTTGAGGATGAGTTAGATTTTTTTTACTCTAATCTTCTAATACCTAAAGTTATTTTTAACTTAATGGTGAGTACCTGTCTGTTAACCTGTGCCAGTGTCTTTGGTTTTCCGCTGTCGTAGGAAAACACCGGCTGTCGTCGAGTCATCTGAAGGGCAACCAGGTCTTTCATGATGGAGTGGAGAGCCTGCCTCTCATCTGCAGGCAGCCCAACAAAACAAACCATAAGAAACTGAGCAAGCTGGATTGCAGATCAAGCAAGTTGCTGTAAAACTCTGTTCGACTAAATGTACTTTGGCAATTCACCTAAGTTTAAAGGTGAACATGTTTGCTTCCTTTACCTATAATTCCATTAAAACAATCTTAGACAAAGATTCAGAGACAGTGAAGAAGTACTCTGTGTTTGATATGCATTTTCCCATGTTTGATCTCAGAACAAGCGCCTCTTTGGCTGTGCTAACGCACTAAGAGAAAATATTTCCCTTGTGTAGCTTGGATAGACATCACAGGACTCAGGACAGCTAAGGGATCCAGACCCTGAAACCAATGCTTCGACTGACAGTGTCTGGAGCTGTATATTGCACACTCTTTGACCTGCTTAATACTTTTTCCTGCAACTGTGTGTCTGTTTTTATCTCATGCTTTGTCAAAACTATGCACTAAATGTCTGTTTCACATCAGAATTCAGAGGACTCACTCATTTTGGCAGCGTAGTGCGTGCGTGGTCCACAAAGCAGCCTTTAGACTGATGCTTCTGAAGTGCCGGACCACCCACACCCTGTAAGGGTAAATGATGAAATCAGTTAGGTTAATACCTTCAAATGATGCAAAAAGGATGTTGATTGTTGAGTCAGGCAGGATGTAACAACATGAAAAAGGGTAGAATATATTGCAAAAGTTAAAAAGTGTGCATAATGACCAAATTCTTAAGCCATCAAAGATATGAAAATCAAAAGTATAAGTAGTTCATAAGCATACTTTTTTTAAAAATAAATGAGGATATTTCTCTTTATGTAAGAAAAAAAAATCATGAATTTTGATGCGATTTAGAGAAACACTTTCTTTTGCTTTTGGTCATTTTCTAGTCATTTAACTAGATGGAAAAATGTATTGCATGTTTCAAAAGGAGTTTGCTGGTGCAACAACAATGCTGTATTTTTGGGATTGGGGAATAAACACTTAAAACAAAGCAGCCGTGTGGCAACATGATCAAAAAATGCCCTGCCTTCAAAGGTTGAAGTCTCAGCCTGCTGGCTGGAGCGTTTTTGTTCACCTTTGCGTGAGCACTAGTGGAGAGCTTGTTTTCATCCAGCTTTGTCCAGCTTAGCTTTTCATAGAGCTAAAGGTAGATGAACGCCCACAAAGGGACAGAAATGTCTCAGGATGTGATCTGGTGTTACTTAGAGAGGCTAATAAAGGCATTAACCGTGAACATGAGCAATAACTTTAATGCTGGGATCTTGTTAGGAGGTGCAGGTGGTCTTGTCAACAGGATCCTTTATGCCCACCGAAACATGCACCCATGCCTCTAACTGTTAAAATAATGTTTTCATTGCAATGTCCTCCAAGAGGGAGGTTCCTCGCAAATATTTAGAAAAAAGCAGATAAATATGTTCATTTGCATCTGCTTCCTTTAGTACCTTTCTTATTCTAGAGACAGGGGGTCACATAAATCATACCGAGAGTCGCAAATGGCCCCCAGTTTTAACATTGCTGTCTTACAGGAGTGAAACCTAAGACTGTTGAAATTAAACCAAAACATTTTGACTGAATGAAAGCTTGAGTGAATGAAACTGCGTCCAGCTCATGCTTATGAGAGAGAACGGCAATTGGAAACGGCTGACATTCAAGCTGCACTGGCAGCGCTCACTCTGGCTCAGTTCATATGAGAAGAATTCCTTTATGAGCAGATTTCTGCTATTTTTTTTTTTAAATCTAAACCAGGTTTAAGCAACTCTGGTTTCACAAGCAGTAAAACCATCCGTAAGCAATGTTATAAATCTACAGCAGAAGTTAACAAGGCAACATTATCAGTCCTGTTGAAGGCATCAACAGCATCATATATCAAAATTCTTCTTTTAGAGGAGGAGTTGTTTATTTTAACAGCCAGCTGCAGTCATGGTAAAATTAAAAGTACAAAACTCCATAAAGTTATGTGGTTTATGAAAAGGTTTTAGGAATATTAAAATCAAACCTCCATTCTGCAAAGAACAAACTGAAAAACATATGCAAACATGAAGTGCTCTCCTACTTCCTATGGATTTCAATGAGAAGGCAATTTTTAAGCAATCAAAAGTCAAACATTCAACAGAGAGGAAGATTATTCCCAAATGGAAAACATTCATGATAGCTTGAGATCTTCCAAGGAGGGGGGAATTTCTGAAAACTAATCCAGGTCAGACAATAGAATCCTCAGAGAAACTCCAAAAATCCAGGAGCTCCAACTCAGACGGTACAAGCCTCAGTTATCAAGTTAAATGCTAAGGTTCATGACAAGATTATTAGACAAAGAATGAACAAGTAGATGGCTTGTATGGAAAGGGTTGCCAGGAGAAAGCCTCTTTGCTCTAAAAAGAATGCTGCAGCACATCTTAGACTTGGAAAAAATGAATATAAATGAGCCAAAACAATGAGAAAATGAGAGAAAAGTCAGAGAAGCCTGACTGTACTGCACTGAGCCAGGTTCTGTTAAAAACAAACAGCAAATTATCACCAACATCTTGTAGAAACTGTCAAACAGGTTGGTTGGAGGAAGACTATTTGGGTTTATTTTGCAGCCACATGACCTGGGCACCATGCGGCCATAGAATGCATCATAAGCTCCTCCAAACATGAGACAATCTTTCCAACAGCTGAAGCTTTGCCCAAATTGGATGATCATAAAGAGCAAAAAAAAAAAGGTAGCCAACAAAAATGGAATCCAAGTCAATAAAATACAAACACCTCCACCCATTTATTCCAAAAACATACGTATCCCAGACAGAGATGGTTTGACTTCTTCAGAAATACATTGAAATAATCAACTATATCATCTAAAGTAAAAGCTAAAAGGTAGTTTCACTACTTTGAGATAAAATGGTGACAATGGGACAAGCCTTCTGTAGATAAAGTCAGCAGTATCGGCACCTAAGGCACCTTACTGACTCTGTGGATTTCTGGGTAATAATCACCCACAGGAATGCCGGGTATGTCCGACTGTGGCTGGCAGAGCGTAACCGCATAGCTTTAAACTTTCTGCCACTCTCACACTACCCTGCCAGGAGTGTGAGCCAAAACCTTTCAACTCTTCCAACTTGGTATTTTAAACACTATGAAAAAAAAACATGAGCTTAATAGAGTGTGAGACTCTCACTATTTCAACTGTTGGGTAACTTGAGGTAACATTGAACCATTGTCTCTTTCTTGGCTACAGACATCAGTGAAAGCACTTCACTTTTAAAGAAACTCCTTTGTTGTACTCAAACAAAGCAAAGCCTCTTTGTCAGAAGGGACCCTCTTCTCACCCCTGTTTGAACCGACTGGAATTACCCCCCAATATGGAATTCTGGGAATTCAATTGAGAACACGACTGCTTTAGTCAGCTGTGCATGCTTTATTTTTATTGTGGCCCATTTCCAAGACATGGAGGATTTACATGGATTTTCCTTTTCCCTCACTCCTCTGTCTGCTTTTTAGAGGTGTTTAGTCTGAGGCTGTATTTTCCCAGACCCAGTCGTATCCATCTCAGGTCAGAGATGCATCTGGACTCATGGCTTTACAGAAAAATGTCCAGGCCTGGTGGCTCTGTCCTGTTTCAGGTGCACATCTGCTTTCGTTTAGAAGAAAGAACATTTAAAGTCGACCTAGACCTATTGTTGATTTTGGCATCACAAGGTTGTAAAGCAGGCTTCCACTGTTCAGTGGCTATTTATAGTTATAGTCATTAACTAAGCATGGTGGCTAAGATGCTAAAATTAATCTATCAAAATCATTGTCGGCTGAATTAAGCTTAAGTGACAAATTCAACCACCTGCGATGCCGCTTGCACAGCTCCAGCCAATCTTCTTAGGGGGCGCACCTTCTTTGTAGCCAATCATCTTTCAAGATCTCCTTCATTTAGCCCCTGGCCTAGCTTCTCTCTCCCCAACGCAAGCGAAACTTTCACCCACCTCCACCCCATCTCCTCCCTCACTCTCACAAACTCCTCTGCTGGGGCCCGAACGTTAAAGAACTTATTTCATTCATCTTTATCTGCCTCCATCAGGCCGCTCACACTGAGTCTGGCTTTGTTAGACATTTCTGCCTGTTAAAAGAGAGTTTTCCTCTCCACTTTCGCTAAATGCATGCTTGGTGCAAGGCATTGTGGAGTCAATGAATCCTCGAAATCAGCTGTTTTTCCTTAGATAGAGATATTTAGAAGAAAATGATTGTGTTACCTATATAAATAAATTGAATACTGCTCTAATTGGAGCTTTTATCTGGCCTAGTGGTTAGACCGGTGCGCTCGTGCTCTGAGAATTTTCCAAGTAGCAGGTTCGATCCCCACAGCCTGCACTCTGGGTCTCTGAGCAAGACCCTTAACCCCACACTGCTCCCTGGGAGCTGCACAGTGGCAGCCCACTGCTCCCCAAAGGGGATGGGTTAAATGCAGAGAGGTAATTTCTCCATTGTGAGATTAATAAAGTTCAATTTATATTTCTTTTCTGTGTGTGTCTCTCTAGGTTGAAATAAACTCCTTCAAGGAAATTAATAGAATATAAAATGTTATTAGTTCACCGTGTTCCTTTAGAACCTCCTTCTAATACTGATTAAAGGACCAGCAAGTCTAATGAATGCTTGCCTTTAATCTGCAATATTATTGTGAAAACACTTTTAACACTTTAAAATGCTACAAATCGTTTTTGATTATTCTGTTCTTATTGAATTTATATAAAACATTATCATAACTAAGAGAGTCAACTTGAGATTTATGTACAGTTTTTATTGTTTGATGTCCATTGCCATTATTTCACCGCCCAAACTTTTCTCTTGCAACTTTACAACCACCAACTTTGCTATACGTCTTTTATAAATATATGTGACAAATACCACTTAGTGCCAAAGTGAAGTGGGAGGGGAAAAAAAATATGTGGTATCTTTTTTTTTTTACAATCAAAAAAGGGAGAAATGATTTTGTACCTTAATGCTCTGATTACCATGCACACAAACTTTAGAAGAGACGTAATTAGTAAATAGAACTTAACTATGTATAAATGATTCTCTCTATAAATATTGCTGGTCTGTGAAGTTCTCAAAAATTGTGTTTGAGTGCTACAGTAAACAAACAACATGAGATCCAAAGGGACACATTAGAACGGGTTGAGTATAGTTTTGTTGAGATCTTCAAAGCAAGTTTCTTCCATAAAAAGTATTCAATGTTTTGAATTTTTTTGAGACTCCCACTTCCATCCATCGCTCTAAACAGATATGGAGATTATGTTTCCAGTAAATGATTAATTATGGACTGTGCAACTCCGGTTCTTATTGAAAAGTAACGAAAAGAAGATGGCCACGTGGTAGAGGATGCTTTGCTCAGATCAGCCCAAAATAATATTTTTGGCTATGGAAAACAGTAAACCTGGATGAAACACGACTCTGAACACACCATTCCATCTGAGGATTGTGGTAGTGGCAGAATCATGCTGCGGGGATGTTTTTCTTTAGGGGTTAAATTGGAAATAGAGTTTTAGGTAAAATAAATAGAGCCCAACACATGTCTACAGGTTTCATGAAAACTCTAGACCCGAGCAGAGGTTCCCATTTTAGTAGGACAATCATCCTAAAAATGAAGCCAGACCTCAACTTGAATGACTTGGAATAAGAGGTGTCAAGTAACAAAGTACAAGTACTTTGTTACTGTACTTAAGTTAACTTTTTAGGTATCTATACTTTACTCCATTACTTATTTTTTTCCTACTTCTGACTTCTACTCATTACATTTTTACACAAGTATCTGTGCTTTCTATTCCTTACATTTTTAAAACAAACCTTACTCATTACTCTTGGCTTCAGTTTTAGAAATCATCAGAAGCAAGCAGGTGTTCTTCAAACTGCAAATGCGAATTTTCTATGCCATGCTACAATGTCGGATTAAGAAAAAGATGTTTAAATGTCTGAAAGGTCGGACACAGGCGAGAGCGTATCAGGAGATGGAGACGGAGACCAACAAGACCGCCCTCATCCTTGGCCCTATCTCAAAGAACCTTTCGAAATAGTCGAAAAATTAAGCTTTCAATTCATATTGTGGCATTTGGCTGTTTTTTTGTTTGTTTGTTTTTTTAAAGGTTACTTTATACTCTAAGTAGTTTTTGGAGCGTATACTTTTTACACTTTTACTTGAGTAAAGAGGTCAAGTTGATACTTCAACTTTTACCAGAGTGTTTTTAAACTGCAATATCTATACTTCTACTTAAGTAACAAACTAGTGTACTTTTGACACCATTGCTTGGAATGCAGCTATTTTCCAAACTAAAATGAGAAAATATGTCACAGTCTAACGGCACAAAGTCGCCAAAGACTTTTCCCCTAAGAACTTTCATCTGTAGCTGCAGCTAAAGGTGTTTTTGAAAAGCACTTTTTGGAGCAGGCTATAACTACAGTACACACAAAAGTCACACTTTGAAATTCATTGATTGATGTACAAACTATAAATGTAAGTGCATCTGTACAAATGTGTGGTTTATATCTAGTTTTTTTCCCTGTCAGAGGCGTAGCCAGAACATTTTTATAAGGGTGGCCAGGCAATAACCAATGAACACTGAGGGGTGGCCGAAAGTGGATAGGCGCCAGAACCTCAGGTTCAAGCCAAAGATAAAGACTAACTATATAGACGCATATATTTAAACATCCGTGCTTTCTAGATAAAAGGTATAGTGGATAAAATTCTTTCAGGTTTGAGTTCTGGGGCAAACATCTTTTCCATTGTCATTACTTAACTACTTTTGTTGATAAATATTCTGCATAAAATTGATATTTAAAAGTACAAATATCTACATAAATTGAATATTTAATACGATTTTATTAAATTAGTTATTTATCTATGATTTCACTGAAGACTCCTAGATGACTTGCAGAGAGACATAGTTTTCTCTTTACCCTATATAACACAAAATCTAGTTTTGAAAAGAGCATGATTTCTGTACTTATCTTTAATGTTACTATAATGATGTGTATAATTAACCACAGTGTTTTTGTTGTCAGGAAATTATGAATACATGAAAAAAATAGTAAGTAACACATGAAAAATTAAAATTAATATTGCACTTGAGAGTATTACTGCTGCCACCTTCTGTATTAGAGAGAAAAAAAAAATGTGCCACCCCTGGCCCCCCATCTATGTTCCTAACAGAGCACTTCGCTCTCAAATCACTGGTTTACTAGTGGTTCCTAGAATTTCTAAAAATAGAATGAGAGGCAGATCTTTTAGTTATCAGGCTCCTCTCCTGTGGAACCAACTACCAGTTTTAGTCTGTGAGGCAGACACCCTGTCTACTTTTATGGCTAGGCTTAAAACTTTCCTTTTTGATCAAGCTTATAGTTAGAGTGGCTCAGGTTATCTTGGGCTATCTCTATAGTTATGCTGCTATAGGCTTAGACTTCTGGAGGACATAGGGGCCCCTATTTCATCATTCTGTTTCATTCCATTTCTATACTCCCACTCTCCAGAATCTGTTAGTTCAAACTCTAACGTTCTGCTCTCTCTCTGCTTTTTCCTCATAGTAGCTTTGCCTCGTCTGTTCCTGTTTGGCTGTGACACCATCCTGGAGAGAAATATCAGCTGTGCTGCTGCCATCAACAACTTTGTTTATAGATGTTGGAGATCTGCCTGTTTTTCCAGTGTAGTCCTGTTTCTCCGACTGTGACTGGCCGGATGTGCTCTCTTCATCCTCTGAGTTGGCTCAGAGCTTGTCTGCCTGGCTGTGTTTTTCATGGATGGGGCCACCTTTTACAGCTGCTTTTTGTATCTCTGCTTCGGTCTCCTCATCTGCCTCAGCAGATGGCCGCTCACACTGAACCTGGTTCTACTGGAGGTTTCTTCCTGTTAAAAGGAAGATTTTCTTCTCCACTGTTGCTTCAAGCATGGGAATTGCATTGAGTCAAAGAGTTGATGCAATCAACTGGTTTCACTTAGATAGAAAACTTTTAATCAATTTGACTGCATGATCTGGTGAACTCTAAAGTGCCCTGAGATGACATGTGTTGTGAATTGGGGCTATACAAATAAAATGAATTGAATCTAGCTCCACCTCTGTTTCCCATGCCTAACAAAAACAAACAAACAACATAATGCAACACAGTTCTCATCGATGTCATGTGAATGCCCCACAGCCCTCACCTGTAATCTCAGGTAAAATGATCCAGATTCGTTTGTAGGGGACCCAGTCACCTGCGTCTCTGGATGGTAGAGGGATACAGTGTCCTGGAGGAGCAGACGTCCATCGACGTCCTTGGTCAGACCAAAACACCCGTGAGAGGGTGTGAGAGTGACGGCGGCATGCAGGGGATAGACACCCCCAAATATGGGGGAGGATGTTGTCCTCTTTCACAGAGTTTTAACTCACTAACGCACTAACAGAGTCTATAAGGGTATCTTTCAGAAAATGTAAGATAAACACAATATCTTTCTATACAGAAAGCATTAAATCTAACTGTTCCTGCTGAGGCCGCTGCAGCCTCGGGTCTTTGGAAAACTTGAATTTCCAAAACATGATTTTTTTTTTTTTAGGCTTTAAGCTGAAACTTATATATATATATAAAAAAGATAAAAATCTACCAAATGTGGTGTAACAGTTGCCTTGTAGCTTTTATTAAATCCATTCCTGAGCTCTCCAAAGGGAAAACAGTAGTTTCCGTGATTATAAGAGCCTGTCTTCCTGATAAAACTTCAGATTTCCCTTTTCTTTGTTGCCTAATTTTACTTCAATATATTATTGAGAACAGATAGAGAGTTCAGTATTATATATATGTCGCCTCCTAACATAAAACACTCCAAAGGCCCTACTGGCCTAACGAACATGTAATGATAAAATATATTCAACGTGCGACGCGATAGTTTTGACTCAGTCGAGACGTTTCAGAAAAAGTAAAAGCAACCGTTAAGAACCACTAGAGGAATACTGTCTGATTATAATCCTTAAAAAGACTTATCAAACTCTAAAATAAGAATGTTTAACAAGTCATGCTTAACCAAGGTTATAATATAACGTATTTTCCAGGGTTAATGGCGATAGAGTTAGCTAGCCCGCGACTTTTCACAACAAAAACAAACCAAGAAACGGTCTTCAACCGAATACGTCAAACTTCCTGACAGAACAAAATATCTCCACCGGAACCCGCTGCAGCTCCTGCAACAAGTCACGAAAACCCATTAGTGGTGTTGGGATCCATTGCTGACCAAAAATACTTGATGTCGAGTCGTCCACACGTTTAAAATAATCCAGAGTTGTTCTCAAAGGAATTCCTGATTGACAAACTATCCAAATTATCGCCCGTCAAGCTGCGGGGACGCGCTGTTACTCGGTAGATAGCTTTCCGCGGGAACGCGCATATTATTGGAGGGGCGGAGCTATTGTTTGACGTTTGTGAGGCATTCACAGGTAGGAGGAAAATACAAACTCTAAGTTCATATATCTATAAAAGGAGCATGGAGTGCCTTGCCTCAGACAGTGGTATACCATACATTTTTCATTTATTTCATTAAATTGGTTAAGATGAAGAAATCTCACTCTACATGTTTATTGAAATGTGCAAATTCTCCTATGTATTCTTACTGAGGACTATTTTTTAACGGTCCCCCATCAACATTTACACATGTAATTATAAATATATATAAATAAACAAAAACAATTGTACTCATATTACTAGTTAAATCTACACAAAATTGTAGCAGAAGGGAAAGATCAGTAATGATACATTACTCAGTTTAATTTAGCTTCACTTTCCCATTTTTGATTTTTTTCAGAAAAACTGATTACCGTGTTTAACAATGCATTAGATGTTTTTAGATAAAAGGATTAGAGTGAAAACACCTTTAAAAAGCAATCTGAAAGAAAAGAAAATGTTTAAGACAGTATGTCAATAAATGCTACAGTCTGGTTTGAAAACACAACTGATTCACTATAAATCAGTTAATAAAATTGTCCTGCTCAACTAGCAGTGCTTATGAGCTGCTTTTTTCCAAATCATTACTTTAAACACTCCAGGACACCGATTCATTAGGAAAATATAGTTAAATGCGAACCAGAAATAAAGAGGTCACAAGTTTGACACTCAAAATAAATATGAAAACTTTAAGGAGCTCAGCTATACAACTTATTGTTTTTTTGAGGAAATCGTAAACAAATATGACCATCCCTTAAAAAACAAATGACCATCGCCTAAAATAAGTTGAGCTTAAAGCAAAATGTATTATTTCAACACCAGCATTTTATTTTATTTTTTTCAAAAGCATGTAAAAAACAAAACAAAAAAGGAAATGAATAAAAAAAGAAAATATGCACAAAACTGATTGAGTATTATGGCGGAGAAAGAGGAGGGGCGTGCTTACATTAGAAAATGTATCATAGAACAAATAACTACTAGTAATAAAGGAAAATGGGGGAAAGACTGAAAATACAGTCTAAATGTCTTTTTTTTTTTGCTGTAAGGCCATCTTAACTCAGAGGTCAAGTCTGGAAAACAGAATACACCCTCAAAGATGCATACATTATTAATGTCTCGGTGACAACAGCAGTAGAAAATAGTCAACATGTATGTCCAGCACAAAAGGAACAGACAGATTAATCATTAAAATGTCACACTGCAATCATTCACCTGAGCCTCTTTGCACCAGTGTAAAATGTACCTTTTCTGCTTTATTAATCAAAGTATGTAGCTCAAAGAGTTTGCTGTTGTACCTTGGCAAACTGCAGAGGATAATAGAAACAGTATTCCTAAATATTGACTTCAAATCATTTGCTGTGGACATAAAGACGATGTTAAAAAGAAAAAAAATGCTGTTATACCTTTCATTATTGAAAACATGGATAAAAATGATGAGTTAAGTTTAGAGGAAAACAACAGCCACTGGTTTGTTGAAGTGATTTTGTTACAGAGTAGATCTCTAGAATGAACAGCTTGAAAAAATAAACTGCATTAACTTTGTTTTTTTGTTGGGGGGGACTTTGTTAAAAATACAATAACCTCAAGTACTTATTTCAAAGGCTTCTTTTTCTTAAAAGGTATATGGTTAGATCTAACTTTACTGCACAGCATGCTCAGTTTCACAGTAGACTTTCAGTCACAGAAACGTACTTTAAGTAATTCAAGTGTCGGCAATATTCACACATTTTAGGAAATTAGATATTTTAGAGCTTTTAGAGTGAGATTGATGGAATATATAAACATGGAAACCTTGATTAACTAGGATCACTTGAGATAAAAGCAGCCGTACTTCTGCTGCACTGCAGACTGAGGCAAAATATTCAAAAAGGCTATGTTAGGTTCATAGGCAAATTATTTCCAGCGCCCTTTCACACTAAACATCAATAACAAACTTACCCCAGCAGAGGGAGCTCTGCAATGGGTTTTGCATGCAAGATTCACGTCTAGATCACAGGATCCAAACTCTCCATCAAAAGGCTGCAAAACTAGCATTTTATGATTAGGTCCACTTGCTAAACTGCTTATTAATTATGAAACAAAGTAAAAAAAAAATGTGAAGAAAAAAGGCAATAATACAAAAGTGAATCTAGTCCACCTTTTTTTAGATGGAAAGAGTAATAGGAAGTGAGCACAGTGATAAAACAAGAAACCATGTCTGTACAAACTATCTAAATGTAAGAATGCCACATAATCCTAAGTACTTTAAGAAAATGTAATTGAACTTTTTCCTCACTTCCTGAAGATGTTTTCTCTCTTACCCAAAAGGCTTCATACACATCTTTATGAATTAACATAGAGTAGACTGATTCTTTTAGAATTTAGGATTAACAATCACAATCTTCACAAGACTATCAATGACTAACATGCCTCAAACAACAGAGGAGCAACATTTTCTTGTCTGTTTTTATATACAACAGACAAGGCCTCAATTTTCTTGTGTTTTTTAACATCATGTTTGGTAACTGTTTGTCTGTGCAAAGTGGGGGTACAGTAAGGTTGGGGAAAAGTCAACAATCACGAACCACGGCTCTATGTACAGATAACATACAAAACACAAGTTCAGAAATCATTTACAATTCCAACAATAAAAGCACAAAGGATCTCATCCTTTTACCTTTAGATACAGACTGCTGTGCATTCATGAAACAAAACCATTCACAACACAGGACATGATTACAGTCAAAAGGTAAGGCTATTAAGACCCAGTCATACTAACATGCAAGGATAAGACTGAGAATTGTAATTTAAAAACATGAAGGGAATGAATTGAATATCAATAAATGTAACTACAAGAATGAAAACATGAGGTGAGCTGTTGCCAATGTGCATGGTTATTATACAGTACTCTGTACCCTGTTTGTTCCTGAACATTTGAAGCAGAAAAATTTGTCTGACAGCGTACCACTGTAATGGATGATATACATTTCTGTTGTTATATTGGTTGGAATCTACATATTTCCGTAATCATAGGGTAAAAATTGACCTGAGTGCATGCTCTATTTCAAACATTTGATGCTCTGAAACTCTTCTGAAATGCCTGAGGTTGTGATAAAATATTAAAAAATGGTGCAAATTATTATTATGAGTCAAAGAAAAAAAAAGAAAATCTAAAATACATTGTGATGCGCTCCCCATATCAGGGAAATATTTTGGTCACAATCAATTACCAATCCCACGAAGAAATTGGAAAATAAGATCTAAAAAAAAAAGGTTATTGGTAAAATGTACAGTATGTCCACACATTTTGATGCTATGGGTCATTTCTAAGCTTTTTGTGCATGTGTCTGTACGGATGGCATTTTGAAAAGCATGTGAGTGTGTGGTCGAATTAACTGGGCCCCAGTATATGAGGCATGTGTTCATTGCAACATGCTGGAGGTGTTCGAAAGGACAAAAAAAAAGGCAGGCGAGATCATGGTGACTTTGTTATATTATCGGACTCCTTGGAGCTCCAGAGCTCTTTGTGCTGCTTGCGTCCAAAACCCTCGTCGTAGTTCCCTTTGCTTTTAAAAAGCTGCTGGAAGTGGGGCTTGCAGTAAAACTCGCCTTGAAGAGCTGCAAAGGAGCCAAGGCTGTGGGGTAGGGAGGAATCAGAGTTACTTACCAAGCAAAGAAGATGGAGGAAGGAATCAAATAACTATGCAAAACAAAGAAAGCCAAAGCGCATGTATTCACCTCAGTTTGGCTTTGCAGTGCTTGCAGCAGAAGCATGCTGAATGGAAAACCAGGTTGTTGGCAACCAATCTCTCCATTGGGTAGACTGTCTTCTCACATGATGCGCACACTTCTTTTTGGGTCTTGAAGCTGAAAGACTGAGCACATAAATATTTTATTTACCAAGAGTAATTTGAGGCAGCATCTGAGGTAACTATAGAATCTGAACCGGGTCTAAGCTGTTTTAATCAAGTTGTACTTTCAAAGTATTGTTAAGCCTTCAACATGCACGTTAGACACAGTTCCAACCAAGTTATTTATTCCCCCTGATTTCCTCCTCCATTTTTGATGTGATTGTTTTATTACAGGGATATGTGCCACAGGCTTTTAAGACAACCGTAGTTAAAACTTTACTTAAGAAACCGTCTCTTGACCCAGATGACTTGGTCGGTTATAGACCTATATCTAATCTTCCTACCTTGTCTAAAATTCTTGAGAACATAGTTGCTTTTTTGAAGGGTTTCGATCTGGTTTTAGAGCTTCAGTAATCATAGCACTGAAACAGCCCTGATGAAAGTCACTAATGATATTCTCATGGCCTCAGATAATGTACTTGTAACTGTATTTTTGCTGTTAGATCTCATTGCTGAATTTGATACAGCTGAACATAACATTCTTTTACAAAGGCTTGAACATATAGGAATTGGCAGAACTCTGCTAGGCTGGTTTAAGCTAGCCTGGTTCTGCTGGAGGTTTCTTCCTGTTCAAAGGTAGTTTTCCTCTCTACTGTCGCTACAAGCATGCTTAGTGTGAGGGATTGCCTACAAGTAAATGAGTCAATGCTATCAGCTGGTTTCCTTAGACATAAAACTTTGAACCAATCTGACTATGATCTGGTGGAATTGTCTCTCTAAAGTGCCTAGAGACGAAGCATGTTGTGAATTGACGCTATATAAATAAAATTAAATAAATGTTCTGGCAGTAAAATACAGTTAATTTAAAAATTAGATATGCTTATTGAATTTTAAATAGGTCATGTTTCAACTAAATCCTCAAATGTATATTGTCAGGAAGTTGAAAAAAAAGCATGGTTCTCACTTTTAACAAGTAAAATGGAGAGTCTCTATAGGATCAGTATTCCTGTTATTTTAATTTGTAGACCACTTTCATTGCAATTTTATCTTCTAACCTTTTAGATTTGCCAAAAATATAGACAAAACTTGTTTGCCCAAATACAAGTATAGGCCTTCATTCTTGGAAAAAGAGCTCAAGCTCAGACAGATTTGATAGAGTTTCTGTATTGCTCCAGGCTTTGCCTGTGCCTGTATGTTTAACGAATGATTCATCCAGCTTCCCTATGGGGTTGGGTATTCCAGGGTATTGATCCAAGATCGATAAAAGTCTGTCTTGGTTGTCCATAAATACAAACGCAAAGCTCACTTCGATTTTTAGGTTTTTTTTTTATTTCCAATTCACAATGTGTTGCTTCAAGTCTATAGGTCTTTTGAAGTTTTGCTAGGCACTTCGACCCAGCAGGAGGAAACCTGCTGCACAATAGTAGAATATAACAATTATCATTGTGAGATTACCTTAGATCTCTGGACAGATTTTTCCTCATTGTTGGTTCTGGTGTCCTGAAAAAAAGAGACATATTCACAATTTGAGATAAAACATTTAAACATGGCTTCCAAACCTTAAGCATCTCTGCTCATTCACTGTAAATGCCTGAGCCCCTTTGGAAGGGATACTTTACACTGCGATTGTGCCATGTTTACCACTGTGTCTGCGTTATCTTTCTGATATCTTTCTCTTCCCCCCTAGTTTCCATTTGCTCCATCTGTCTGTTTGCACCCAGGGGAGAGGATCAGGTGCCTTCTGTCTGATCATAGGAGCTGAGGTGTGGCTCTGCCCACAGCATAGCATAATCCAACAAAATCTGCCTTCTAGTGAGGACATTTAAAAGCACAAAAGAGATTTTAAAATACAGATGATTTTAATAAAAAATTTAGTATTTTCATTCAACTATTAGATCAAATATAAAATGTTACTTTTCCTGCCAGTTTAAAAGAAAGAAACTGAAAGATACCTCAAAAAAGTTGGTAAGAAAAAACGATTTGGTGTATTAAACACATAAACAATGACTGCCACAGAAATAGCAAAGTATGAAGAAAGACGGGCAGCCTGTTTTCTGCAGAAGGGGAAAGTCCACTACAAACTATTCTCAAAGCTTCTTATGTAAGTTTGTCTAAAACATCAGGTGTAAAATGGGGTTTGGGGTGATTAACAGCTGCAAAGAATAAGACCTGCAGCATGTGAAAGAATGACTACTTTGGTTTTGCTCTTTTTTTGTAGTTGAAAAATAAAAGAGTAAAAAAGAGGAAAGATGTATTTAAAATTTACTGTCATAAAAAAGTAGTCAGAATTCTTTTTTTAAATTCTTTAGTTTTTTTTTTTTTTGCACTTGCATGTTTCAAGTCATCACCAGAATTTGATCCTCATTTAATCATTAACCTAATTTACTGCAGGGAAAGAAATCAATAGCAGCCTGGTCTTCTGTATAAAATCTTAATAACTTGTCATCCTTGCTTCAGATAATTGTCCAACTACTGCACATTATAGATTTGCTTTAGCTTAAATCAAATCAAAAGTTGTTCTACTTCTGGATTATCTGCTAAAGAGCAAATTCTCTGGTTCCATCTAATACACCAATGTGTCCACGGAGAGCAAAGAATCCTAAGACCATTAAACTATCACTACCATTTTTGGCTGTAAGTAAGGTGTTCATTTTCTAAAATGTTCTCTAAGTTTTAAAGAGAGATGTAGCATGATGTGCACTTTCAAAAAGATTTTCCTTTATTTGTGTATCTAAGGCTGTGCTGAAGAATGTATCCCTTCAATCAATATTGATTGTTACTGATTTATTTTTCTAACTATTCAAAATAAGGACTTGTGGGAGAAAGAGTGAATTGAAATTGTTACCCTAACCTTTTATAAACGTAACCTTTAAAAAGAGGTCAGTCCTACCACCTACCTAACTTAGCTTGGCTGTTTGAGGTTGGGAGGCTGAATCATTTCTCCTGCCTACATCCCCCAGAATGCCTTGCAGTTAAGACTCTGAGTTCAATGAAATTACATACTTCTCTATCTGATATTGAAGTTTTCCATCGCAATATATACTAATATCCCAGCCTTTCTTGTAACTACAAATACAATTTCCCCGAATGTCATCATGATCATTTTTGGCAAAGGTGAGAAAAGCTAATTGAAACAATAATGCATTAATGGGCTGCCATGTAACCTAAAGGATTTATCGCCTGTCACTTTATTATCTGCTGAAGGTCAAGTGTTCACCAAAGAGCTTCTAAAAAGTCACCTTTATATTCAATTTACAAATATATACCAATTTCTATTCTTTTTACATCAAAGAGCAACACTAAGCAGCAACGTACATACCAAGTTATTCAAACTTTATTATGCATCACTTTACAAGCAGGAAAGCAAAGGCTATTGCCTGCACTTGTGGCAACCGGATGACATGCCTTTTTGTGACAATTAGTTCAGTAGCAGTGAAGCCATTCGTTTTCCTGTGGATGCAATCAGATCCAAACGGTCAAACATCTCCTCGACATCCACAGTTCCTCCTGAGAGCAGTTATTATGTTGCTTCTACGCCTCAGACAACTCATGCTTGCTGATTGTCAAGCACGCTGCAACTACACCACTTCCTGTGGCTGTTGTATAGCTACTGAACCGAGAAGACTTTGATCTTCTCGAGGAAAGTTTTTAAACTGTTAGAAATCAAGCTTAAACGATACTGATACCTTCCGCAAAGCAGGGGTGCAAGAGCGTGATTGTGTTATTACCGAAGCTGTAAAAGAAATACACTTTTCAAACACTTCTCACACGTTTTTGGGTTTGCATGTGCCATCTTGTCTTTCTTTGCCTTATATGTACATAAGTGACAGTTTCCCCAAAAGAGCTTGAATGTGGCAGGAAGTAGATTATGACACATCCGTTTCTGCTGTCTTGCAGAGTACCAGATAGCTAGTAATTCAACTGCATACTTTTTTCTACTTATATGTACTTTCAAAGTTTATTGACAATAGACGATGACACAATCAATGTGGCCCGAAAGCAGGACACTAATTTATGAGGAAATATGAGGGAAACTGTTAGGAAAGAACAAAGTGTTTATAAAGGGGTTTTATGTGGAACTAATCCTCTCTCCCCGGCACTGTTTTAGCTGTAGAGCAATCTGCAGCGTGAGAGAAACTGGAGCCAGCTGGACTGTAGTTATCTGACCAAACAAGGAACACTTTCAGCCTCAGTGCTCAAATCGTCTTGCAAAAGAGCTTCAACTCTTAGCTCAATGCTTCCATTCCTCTCTCTGAGCCTTCATTTTGGTTTTAATCTCACCTGCACATGTTGGCCTGTCTGTGTTTGTGTAAATGCTGTAAAAAAACAACAACAAAGGAACAGGAGCTTTGGGATTGATTACAACTCGTTCCTCTGTTTTCTTTAAAATAGTTTTTTTTATTACAAAGACTTGCCTTGAGGTTTATGTGGAACATTTAGGAAGCTAAGGGCCATTTAATCCCACTTCTATGTTTTATTTTTATCTGTGATTTAAACAAACAAGTCATGACTAAATGTCAAATGAGCTTCAGATGTGCTGAGAGGTGAAGTCTGTTTTAACAGGTATAAATCTTCTTATCCAGGCAACAGCAGCTGCTCTAAATACTAGTGTGTGAAGGATGACTGCAGCCTCCAACTCCCACTGGATGGCATGTTTGGCTTTGAAAAAAGTCATAAATCCTGCAACTTTTTCCAGTGAAAGAATTTAAAGGTACAGCTAGAGTGCATGTCATGTACTAAATCAGGCATTAAAGCAAATGAGCTAACCTTTAAAATGTAATCTTTCTGTCTTTTCAATACATTTTTCAGACTGTTACAAATGGGAGCTATAAACTATCTTTATATTTTTCTTCTTAAACTGCAGGCCGACAGGACAAAAATTAGATATTTCACTTTGGATTATCTCTGAATACATGATGACTCACTACAGCTAAAAAGCGTTTTTTTTTTTTTTTTTTTTGTTATCCAAAGAACATGTTCACACTCCTGTTTCTTATTTTTGGAAGCAATCCTTGTATAATCATTGTGACAGCTCAATTTAATCTAATAGCGTTCCAGACGTTTGTCTTAAAATGAAGCTCAACAAATATTTTCCTATTTAGAACCAGCAACATCAGCCAAGAGCTACAGCAGATTTCTCTCACTGTGTGTTTCGTTTTGGATCTGGCGGTCATGGCATTCACCCAACTCCTAAAACAGTTTCTGGAAAAGAAGATAAATAGCCTCTCTTTGACTGTAATCTCAGTTCAATCAATAACTTGAACATGCAGAGACTAAGAGTCCTGGGAAGAGGAAAAATGCCCCAAATTGCTGAGGTTTACAGAAGAAAAATAACATATAACAATGATGAAGAAGTAAAACTTAATAGAAGTTTTAATATTTCCACCTTGGCTGCATAAACTGATTCAACTTTGACTCATTTACATATGTTTAGTTCAGTTCCTTTTTTGACCCATCAAAAGGGGGAAATTAGTTTAGCTGCTAGGCATTTCAAAATAAATTTTCTTTTTTAACATGTCGGTGAAGGATTCAGCAAACCGGTCTGCAGAGTAATCACTTCTAGTAACAGGGCGAATGTTTGGTCAGCTACTATTTCACTTCCCCAGCTCAACTTCCTGCTGTAACAAGAAAATGACTGGGCATTTTTCTGTGCTGGGTGGCATGGGCACATCCATCGCTTTGTCTGCATAGCTCATGCCTCAGCAGGCCTGTTTTGACTTACTATCTAACAATAAAGAGCTTCAAAAGCTTCATCACTATATTAAACTATATCTGCCAAACAGCAGCTCATCATGTTTTGTGATGAAAATACATTTCCAAATGTCCCAATCCTTTTTAATACACAAGTAAATTTACAAGATTTTAATATGGACTTTTTTTGTCTGGATGGAGCTGTTTTATTGTTTAAGAGTTGAGCAAGATTTGACTGCTAAGAAGAGAAAATATATTTTTGGTTATACTACCCACCCCTACAGCTGTTTTTTATTTTTATTTTTTTTATTTCAGTGACAGCAATTACCGTAAAACTTAGAAAAAAACGTAATGGAGGAAAAGTAAAGATAAAGAGAGAAATGAAGAGTATTTCTCATTTTAATACTATTTGCATGTGGAAATTCTAAAAAAAAATGAGTGCTAAATAGCGTGACAGCGGTTTTATTTTTTTAAGCAGAATAGGAGACCTATCACCACTGAATTTTGACAAAGCAGAAAGTTTAGTTCCTATTTTCTACAAGGCTTGTCTAAGTTCTTGTGAAACTGGCTGGTAAATAAATGAGAACATCTGCTCTTGGCTTAAATGCAAAAATTGGTACTGAACCGAATAGCTGAGGAAGACAAAAAAAAAGGCATCAAAGAGATTGCTGCTTTGCTACATAAGTGGTTTTATTTCCTTTTGAATAGTTTAAGAAATATAACAAATGGCTGACTAGATGCCTTAAAGAAATCCAGCCTTCTGCAACCTTTCATGTTCAACCTTGTTAAAAGTGGTTTTAGGAAATAGCCAAGAGTGCTTCACCTGATTAGATGTTATCGGGAAGCAGAGAAGATAAAATATTTCACAATCAAATTCTTGTCTTTGAATGGAATTCGGCATGGCATGCCTCATCCAGTCCTGGAAAAAAAAAATCTATAACACAACTACCATGCAAATATCTGCTTTGCAATCACAGCAACGTTACAGCTGCAGCCAGAAATGGAACACAGAAAGGAAAGGTTTCCCTTTCAGTAATTCCCCGAACTTTAAAAGCTTTTAATACCTGAAAAGAAAACATGATACATAGGTGCTACTAGTTGATGATTCTGGGATTCCTAAGCAAGATGCTGAAAGGTTTTAGTCAGCAGCACGATGATGGCAGTGACGAAAAAGAATGGTGAGACGGTATCCACTTCAGCTAACAAAATAACAGCTGAAATAACACCATGCCATGATGGACTAAGCCAAAGCCTAATGGTTTTCATCACCTTTGGGAATAGTTTTTATTAGAATAGTTTTTTAAAATAAATGTTAACCTAAGCATTTATATTATATGTGAATATCTTAGAAAATGGGAACAAGTGATATAGATCAAAAGAAAAGAATGTGGCTATCTGCTGTGTAGGAGGTTGAATGCACGCCTACCAACCCTATCAGGGTAGATTTGTATTCTCTTGCAAAGAAGAAAAACACCAACCTCCTTTCAGAAAGTCAAGCATTCAATGCATAAAGACTTGTGTCTAAGGACTGCAAACTCCGCTGTGCACAACTGAAATTCACTCAACTATATAGGTTTTAGAGGAAACCTAAACAAAAACTAAAATACACTATTAAACAGCTATGTTTTGAACTTTAACTTTTGATGCAAAGTAGTGCTAATATTATCCCTTTATAATCAAAAAGACACTCTTAGCATCCAGAACCAATCGAGATTTGGTGCTGTTCCAGTAAAATAAGAGCATATGCTTCCATTACACTACATTAGGTCTTACTGCAGCTTTATTCTATATCATTTGTCAACCCCCCCCATCTGCTTTATTTGTAAACAAATATAGACTTTGACATAGATTTCTCTATTAAACAAAAACTAACAGATATGGGGGAGCAGTGTAACTAACAAACTGTCACACAGTCAGACAGCCTGAAAACTGTTGCAGGAAACGAAAGCTATCATGTAGTTAGTTAAGCCTTGTAGCCATATGCTTGGAAAATAATTAACAGCCGATCAGGCTGTAATGCTTCTAAAGGATAAAAGAGGAGTTTCAAGAGATCAGGCAGCTGATGGACATTGCTTTACAAGACAAGAAGTCAATCTGCTGTCCTCCATCGGGTACTTAGGTCTAGTCTAAGGCAAAAATAACATCCATCAAGGCAACAGCCAATCCTATAGAGTTTACTAAACATTTCAGAGACTCGTGGCTTTAAACAAGAGCTTTAAAGTAAAGTATTAAGACAAAATGACAGTTGGCCATGCGTGACATGCATGCCTGTTAAGCAGCTGACTCCAGTCTAGCTTTGAACAAAGACATCCCAATTCATTAACCAGCTGATATCAGCTTGTTATGCTTGTGTTACTATATAAAGATCACAAAAAATGTTAGATTTTAATTTCACTAAAATGATGCTCTATTAACTGATTTTGTATTTATCTATTTCTTAAATCTACTCATCAAAACAGAAAGATGTATGAAATAATAGATGTTATAATATAAATAAATCAGCAAATCAATTGGATGATAATATATCTATTTATTTTGCATAAATATTGTAGTGACTATTTGTACAAAACTAAAATTTTAAAATAAAAAAAAACTTAAAGGTGATCAAAGAAAAATGTGAAGATAACTCAAATATCCACCCGATGCACTGTGTATTCTGGCTCACGCAGTTCAAAAAGATCAAAAAGGATCAAAATAAAGTTCTTTGCTTGCTTTATTTTTCCATTCAGACAGGATACAGGCTTCACAGGGTTCTTCTATTGCTCTCTCTCTGATTCCTGCACCTGTTCTCTAATGGACTGAATGATTGACTGACTGGCTGAAGACTGAGAACTGGATTTTGACCATTTTTGATCTTTTTGGACTGCGTAAGCCAGAATCCACAGTGCATCAGGTGGATATTTCAGTTGAATTCACCATTTCCTTTGATCACCTTTAAGTTTTTTGATTTTTGATTTATAGTTTTGTGCAAATAGTCCCTACATCAAGTCAAAAAAAAAACATATGACCACCCACGTGCATAATAGCTACCAAAGACCTCCCTATTTATACAGTAAAACACCCACATCCCAAGCTAAAATTAATTAACTAATTACCTGAATCACTAAACAAATCTTATTCTAAATAACAAACCAAACTAAATAATTCAAATTCTAAGATTTAATGGAGAAATAATTCCTACAAATATCATTATAATATGTTATTAACCAAACGTTATGATACACTGGCAATCTCAAACCAACCCAAACACTTTACAGTAGGCTCATGTATGCAGGGACATCAGGCTACACTACATATTTCTGTGTCCTATTTATACCAGCGCAGAGATATCCAGCTTCAAGGAGTGAATAATATGTTAGAACAAAACAATAACATAACACTCTGACATTAACTTCTACCACGCTTTACAAATCATTCAATAAAAGTAAGGGTAGGAAAAATGTTTTATATTAAAGGCTTTACCAATTATAGTCGATGAGAGGTGTGCGTTTTAGATTAAATTAAGCGTTGCTTTTTTTAAAATATATTAATTAGCTTTTAGCTAGCAGGGGAGCAGACGTTCCGTTTGGCGCACTGTTAGCATTTTAAAGCACTCGGTGGGGGGGATTTAAATCCTGTACTAAAGCTAAACCTTCCATTTCCTTCTGAATATAAACAATAATTACATATTTTATTGAGAAACACGGGTTTGGGATGGTTATTGGTTTCAGAGAGGTCGGGCATCATCACCTCATCTCAGGTTGAGAGAAACAGAGAACAGGCTGCAGACAAACGGTGCAAACCAACGGACAGAGAGGGAGAAAAAGCAGCACTCACCATCTGTGCTTCTTGTTGCGGTCCACTGGGTTAAAGCAAACTCTCCTGGCTCTGACGCTAGTCTGATAATATTTGTTAAATTATTGTTATTGTTTTCTTCTTGCCTGGAAATAATTGTAATGGGGGGTTAGAGTGGTTACCGGCGAGTTTCTGCCCTCTGCTCCGCTCCTCGTCTCGGTTTTCAATACAACAGTTTTCTTCCTCGGCAGGATGTCGCACGCTATTGGTTCGCATCTGTTCCAGACGCATTCAAGTTCCGTCGGACAAAATACCCAGTGTGTATTTTAGTTAACTTAGGATGATACAATTTTAAACATACGTTTAAAATTAAATCATTTATAACACTTTTAATGCACGAAAACACACATTTACTTTTGATCCTGTGCTAGTTATGCTGCTATAGGCTTAGACTGCTGGAGGACATAGGGACACCTATTTCATCATTCTGCTTCATTCTATCTCTATTCTCCCACTCTGCAGAGCTTCGCCTCCTCTGTTACTGTTTGGCTGTGACTCCATCCTGGAGAGAAATATCAACTGTGCTGCTCCCATCGACACCTTTGTTTATAGATGTTGGAGATTGGCCTGTTTTTCAGTGTAGTCCTGTTTCTTTGACTGTTACTGGCTGGATGTGCTCTCTTCATCCTCTGACATGGGAGTTGGCTTGGAGCTCGTCTGCCTGTCTGTGTGTTTCCTGGATGGGGCCACCTTTTACATTTGTTTTTTGTATCTCTGCTTCTGTCTTCTTGAAACCCAGTCGGACTCGGCAGATGGCCGCTCACACTGAGCCTGGTTCTGCTGGAGGTTTTCCTCTCCATTGTCACTACAAGCATGCTTAGTGTGAGGGATTGCCTTCGAGTCGATGCAAAAATACTGGTTTTCCTTAGATAGAAAACTTTGAATCAATTTGCCTGGATGATCTGGTGAACTGTAAAGTGCTTTGAGATGAATTGAACAGTTGTTTTTTTTCTGGTTTTGTGAGGAAGAATATGTGTATATTTGGTATCTGGGCCCTTGCCATCTCTTGTTCTGGTCTGGTAGTGCCACAGGATCACCAATGGTGTGACTTTCGGAAGCTTTTATCACCTTTACTCACTGTTCCAAGCTTATTAAATTTGTTTAACATAAGACTATTCACATATAATTATCAGTGCATTTTATCATCACTGAAAAACAAAGGAAATCATACTTCAAATTTTTGTAGTGGGTTGTCAAAGTGAAGATGTGCTTAATGCTTCGTTTTGAGCACATTCAAAGTAAAGGGAACAGACTCATACAAGTGGATTGTTGCAAAAGGAAGAAGTGGACCTATTAACGCAGTGTGAGCCAAGGTGGGATAGTCCTTTCTTACATATTTATACAGAGGGACGATCTAAGTTCAGTTTCAAAATTATATTCATCTCCACATTATATACATCCACCCATTTTCTCCCGCTTAGTCCTATCAGGGTCACGGTGGGGCCAATGTCTCCAGCAGTCTATGGGTGAGAGGCAAGGTACACCCTGGACAGGTTGCCAGTCTGAGGCAGCGAAAAAAACAGAGAAACACAAAGATGTACAACCATTCACACAGTCACTCACACCTAAAGACAATTTCAAGAAGCCACTTAACCGAACAGTCATGTTTTTGGACTGTGGGAGGAAGCCGGAGTACCGGGAGAGAACAAACACATGCATGGGGAGAACATGCAAACTGCATGCAGAAAGACCCTGGGCCAAGAATCAAACCCAGACCCTTTTGCTGCTAGGCAACAGTGTTACCCACTGCTCCAACCTGCAGCCCTGCCACATTATATAATCCCAAGTGGGGTCGCGAGGGGTGCTGGTGCCTATCTGCAGCTGTCAATGGGCGAGAGGCGGGGTCGACAGGTCGCCAGTCCATCACAGAGACAAACAGGACAACCAACCATTCACATTATGTAATATTCATTCAAATTAAAATTTTAATAAACACATTTATAATCCAAATGGATTCTATTCTTTTTTGTGTGTGCATATTTTGTTGGTATTTCTCCCTCAGTTCTCGAGCCCCCTCAGAGCCAACAGGCCATCTTGCCAGATACAGAAACCGCAAAAAGCACGAAGATGCCAAAGCTTTAAATCAAACATGTTTTTATTGTTTGTGATATACACTATGCCATGAAAAGGCACTCCACTAAAACATGAATACATCACACAAGAAGAGCAACACGGTTAATTTCACATGTTCATTTATCTGCGGCCTATGACTTTAACAAAGTTATGTAGTACACAAAATGAAAATATACAAATCATGAGGTTTGTAAGCCCATAAGCATCTATCTTAAACTGCAATTATTTTAATTACTTTTAGAATTCACAGCTCTTTAGCTTGACTTGACTAAGGAATATCAGTTGGATGGTTTATGATTTATCTTGGTGTTTAGGATTTTTCTGAACTGAACCAACTTTATTGAGTTGGGACCACATATTGAGTCAAACCAACTCTTTTGACCATTATATCCAAACCCCCTCCAATAGGTCTGCTCGTGTCACTTTGTGATATGCCTCAGTCATCTGCCTAAACAGACCGACTCTTAATGGCGCAGTTGGGTGCCTGGATGTAGGGGAGCTGAGACGAGTTAACTTATTTCTTCTTAGTTGTCCCACCGGCTCTTTCTACGTTTTGGTGGTTCAGGAACAGCAAAGCTATCATCTCCTCTGTCCCTCCCCTCCCCACTTCCCCTGTCTCCCCCATCCCTATCACCTCTTCGCTCATCTCTGTCCCTCCTGCTTCCATCACCATTACGGCTGTCACTGTGCCTGCTGCTGTGGCGATCCCTGTCGCCATGGCGGTCACGATCTCTGTCACCGTGTCGATCCCGGTCGCCGTAGCGATCCTCACCACTGTGACGATCACTTCTGTCACTGTAGCGGTGATGGCTGTCTCCAGAGCGTCCCTGGGAGTCTCCATATCTGTCGCGAGGACTCTCTCTGTGCGTGGGAGGTGCAGGCGAAGGGTTATTTTGCTGTGAACTGGTTTGAACGTTGGGCACTGAACTCAGGGAGCCAGCGCTCATGAAACCAGGCATTGAAAAAGCAGCCATGTTGTGTCGCTCAGAGCCATTGGCAGCCTCTGTTGGCACAGAGTTCAGGCTTCCAGCACTCGTCCAGCAGGAGGAGCTGCTGGACTTGGTGCTGAGCTTTGGAGGTCCACTGGTTGCAGCAATGAAGTGGCTCTTGTACTGTGCCTAAAACAAAAGCAGACATTAAAATAAGTGCTTTGTAAAGGCAGAGCAAACATTTGAAGATATTCAAAATGAGTGACAAGGTTGTTGATCACAGATTATCAATTCTTTAATGCCTTAACCTTTTTTTTGAGAAATTTAATGTTGGTGTTTTACATATTTTCCATAAGATATTCTCTTGTGTCGCCTATTTTGAAGATTATCTGTATCTGAAACAAAATGGCCTTTCTCAAAATAACTATACCACAGCTAACACGAAGCGAGGCTATTAATCAAGTCAAAGTTGACTGACTAAACCATTGAATAGCAAGCTTTATGTTAGACAGTTCTGTATTTGCAGCAGTAGCATCTGCAAAATTGGATTTATTGTTGATTGCTCCACTTTGTCTCATCCCCTCAGCTCTCACTCACTTGTCAACAGCAACTGCTTCAAATTAAAAATGTTTCCTGTGCTCAAAGCTAAGGGAGTGCTGATAAACTACAAATTAACTGTATAGTGTCCATGTTTATGTCCAGATGAGGCAATAACTGACATCTTCAGTGACTAGACATCAACAATTAGACTTATTTTGCTCATGTTTTAATTCGAAAACTTAAGATTGGATTCTCTGTCCTTCTAACTTCAAGTGAGGGGTTTCATTTCTCAATAAACATACATTTCTTGGCATAAAAGACGCAGTGCTAAATGGCTTAGAGGTAAGATATGAACAAGCTAATGTGAATTCCCATTCATAGTGTTTGTGTTACTTAATTTGTGCTTATTACAAGGTGTGTTTCCATCAGCTCTTTCTAATGAGCACTTTGAAGTAACGGTACGTCAGAAAACCTTGATGGAAAAGGCAGAATTCTAAAAAAAAAACAAAAAAAAAAACTAAAATTTGCAATTTTGTTTTTACACTTGCTTGAGGTGTATTTTTTTTTTTTTTTTTTCAAAAAAAGACATTATTGATTTATGCTCAATATTGAAGCGTGGTCTGTGCTACACGCTGTGGGTCTAGATATGGCCGAGGCGGTGAGGAAGTGGGGACGAGATTAAAAAAGAGCAATATCAAAAGAGCAATATCAAAAGAGCAGAGATCCAGGTGGAAAAAGGGTCTCAGCGTTCTCGCGCACCACGCTCTTCTAGCGGGTCAAACTTCACGAGTTGTTTTTTTCACAATTTCAGTTATAAAAACTAAACAAGCCGGCCTCCTGTCAGCGGCACTGTCGGCGGTCAGCTACAATTTGGGAGAGGTGCAGCGGAGCGTCTGTGGAGGGGGCGGGGATGTCTGGAGCCGAAGAATTGCATTCATTGCACTGATTTTGTGCAGTATTTTTGATGCAAGGCCTTTCAAAATCTATAACGCAGGTATATTATTTTTCAGTGAATGTTTCTCAAAAAAAAAAAAATGCATAACGATATTACAGCTTTCATTGATTTATTTCAAATTTTAAACATTGTCTAAGCCTGTAAGGTAAAAAAAGAAAAAAAAAAAAAAAAGAACCAATTAATCGAATCGTATCGTGGTGTATTCTTGAGTCCAGAAAATAATCAAATCCTTGGGTCAGGAAATCGATACTGAATCAAATCGCCATGATGGCTGTGATTTACACCCCTACTTCAGAGGGGGTCTTTTTAAAAGTAATGTTAAAGCTGAGAGGCTATAGTTAGAGAAAGAATGAAAGGGAGCAGCACCTGGAAGGCTTGTTTCAGTGCAGACATGCGGTCCCCCATCGCCCCTGTTGTTGGTTTACTATAGCCTTCAAAACCACTAGAGGAAGACAAGCTGCTGCTACGTTCCTGGAAAAATAATAAAAAAAGATTTTTAAACATTCAACTTCAACTCTTCAATTCAGCAGTTAGAGGTGGAGATATATGATAAAGATTTGAAATTTGACATCATGAACATTATATACACTTGATGTTAAAAAGTCACTTACAGAGCTTTCAGCCCCCAGGCCTGGTCGCTCTTTATAACCAAGACCACCTCCACCGATGTTGGGCTTCTTCCCTTTACCCCCCTTAAAGCGTGATTTCCTGAACCAGGGATTCTGCAGGAGAAAAAATGTAAATTACTTTACATAAATTATTCCCATATTACCAAAAAACCCATTCAGTCTCCCAATGTTCTGCTGAAAACATCTTTATTTCATCCCACCTGCATGGCTAAATCCATGAGCTCCTTAGGAACAGCTTGATTTGCTCCCTCCAAGTTCCGCACCAGGTCACCAGCAAATGAGGTGTCTTTGCCTGTGAGCAGGGTGTAGGCCACACCCTTCTCTCCAGCGCGACCTGTTCGACCGATTCTGTGAGTGTGTGTGTCGATGTCGCGTGCCACATCATAGTTCACTACTGTGCGAATCGACGGGATGTCCAGACCACGGGCTGTGGAGCGAGAGGTAAAAAAGGCGGCAAACATTAGGATTTTTTTATATTTTAAAAGATACAGAAAATATTTAAACGTGTAAAGATGTAAAAATAATGAGAGTAAACACCGGCTACATCAGTGGCAACCAGAACGGGTAAGTTCTTCTTCTTGAAGTCACTGATGACTTTGTTCCTCTCACTCTGGTCCATATCTCCATGCAGGAGACCAAGGCTGTATCCCTCTTGAGTTAGGTTAGTGGCCAGTTCCTCAGAGTTAGCCTTCTTGGTAACAAAAATGAGGACAGAGCCAGTGGAAGTGAACTCGACCAGCCTTCGGGTCAACCAGTTCCATTTATCTGATCCACTGTGCAGCAGCTCCACCACCTGAGTCACATCCTCATTGGCCTTTTAAAAGAAGACAGAAACAAAAGGGTTGCAATTTAAAGGAAACTGACAATAATGGAATAAAATCTGACAAGTAAAAATGGTTCTCTTTCAACAGTACGTATTTGATACTCAACCAGGTGCTAGAACTTATTTAAATATCTATTAAGACATAAAAGCTTTTTGAAATGATAAATTACCTCTCCGATGTCTCCCTGCACGACCCGAATAGGATCAACTAAGATGTCCCTTGCCAACCTCTCAATCTTTTTTCGAAAGGTGGCGCTAAAGAGAAGAGCTGTAAAGGAAATTGTATTGGGAATTAAAAAAACTGCTTTACATTTTGGACATTTCAAAATACAAGAATAAATACTTACTTTGCCTGTCTGGGCGAACGTGGCTTGCAATTGATCTCACCTGATATTCTAAAAAAAAAAAGGTTTGAAATAAAAAATCAGATAAGAAAAAATAGAGCCATTTAAAAAGCTGTTATAAAAATAAGATGTAATAATAACAGCTTACCAAAGCCCATGTCAAACATGCGATCAGCCTCATCAAAAACCAAGTATGTCACCCTCTGCAAGGACGTAGCCTTCTTTTTAACATGGTCAATCAATCGACCCTGCATAAACAAGGTTTAGTGGGTAAAGTTCTCATTTTTTTATGTTGATACCAACCATTTTGTTCACAGCAGAGGAAAAATAAAAAAAGGTCAAGTTTCTTACTGGTGTGCAGACTACAATCTCTGCTCCCTCCTGCAGAGCTTTGGCTTGCTCCCACATACTGCCTCCTCCATAAACAGCTACAGAACGCAGCGAGTAGGCTTTTCCAAAACGCTTACATTCAGCATGGATCTATAAATCATGAATAACAGTAACACAAATATTAGTGAAGCAGGAATCACAAAAACGTTATATTCAGGATTTTTCAAATCTTCTCTCATTATCTACCTGCTGACAAAGCTCTCTGGTGGGACAAACAATCACTGCAATAGGCCCCTCTCCCTGCTCCAGCTCCTTCTGATCCATAATATGAACCAGCATTGGCCAGATAAAAGCTGCAGTTTTACCACTTCCAGTTTTTGCAATGCCGATCATGTCGCGTCCAGAGAGGGCAATCGGGACACCCTAAAATGAAGATGTGAACAAAGAATATTTTGCACCAATTTCTATTTCCCTTTCTACTGTAGGAAAATATAGATGTTTGACTGTACCTGACACTGAATTGGTGTGGGCTGTGTATACTCAGACTTTCGAATTGTGTGCATAAGCTGCTCATCAAAGCCAAAATGGGCAAAGCTGGTGGAAGGTTTTGGAGGGGCAGCGCCAGAAACCTGAAAAAACAAAGATGACAAACTTTAAAATCAGCTCATGTTAACATGATGACTCAGTCCCTCAAAGAAATGTATTTTCCAATCTATTAGGCAAAAAAAATAAAAATAAAAAATAAAAAAATCTAGAATAGCTTAATCACACAAATGAATTGCATTCTTCTAAACCTTTACTTATGATTGTGAATTAAAAGAATAACTGACGTACCCGCAAGTTCAGCTTCTGCCTTAACTCCATCACTTGAGTACCTGTGAGACTGCTTAGCTCCTCATGTTCATTGTAAAAGTTTTTCTCAAAGGGTGGGTAGTCAATCTATGAGACAGAGAAAAACAAAACAAAACACAGGTTTCAGAAATTGCAAAAAAAAAGATGGATATTGCAGTAAGCTACTTTTCATAATGACAGCTGTCAACTGTACCTCTGAGTGATCAATAGGCGGCAGGGGCAGGATTATTTTCTTGGTCGTAGAAGGAATAGGATTTCCATCACTGTCATAGTCGACGTTTTCCTCCTCTTCCTCTTGGGTCAGCCCGGCTGTAGGATTCTCTGCCATGTAGCGGAAATAGGCTTCCTGCAGAGAACAGAGCATTTTATTTTAAGAATATATATGATCTGATGCTCTTCATGCCTCCTAAACTGAGCAAACAAAACACAAAACAGTAACTTCACTTGCTTGGCTAAAGAAAAAAACATTACATTATCAGACCACAACAACGATCCTAATGGCAACCTGCAGAATCAGAGAGAGGCGATGAATGGAACTCTATCAGACCAGAGAGGATACAGGAAGTATGTCTCTGGTCCGCATTGTAGAGGATTTAAAAACTTTGAAAGAGTTCACTCACTTGCTCATCTTCTTCCTCAATGTCATCACGAATACCCCTGAAAAAAACAAGCGGAGAAAAAAAAAACTTCCCTGCAACTCGTTCATAAACCAAATGAAGCCCACACCCCACAGTTACTCAGCGTCAGTCTCCCCATTGGATCATATTTGTTTTCTGGCCTTTTGTGCCAGTTAGTGGAACAATTAAGACCCTCAATATATCAGCCAGCACGAGGCAAATAGGGAAAAATAGAGTCAAACAGGAGCCTGACTGAATGAGTACAGAATTTTAACTATTTTTTTTTCCCCCAGGAATTTCTTATTTTCAAGAAGAGCCTTACTTGGATGAGGATTTCTCCTTTTCTTCTAGTTTCCTCATGTCTTTCGCTGCTTGGCTCTAAGAAATGGAAATTAAATACAATACAATACATTATTATGTATAATTTTCAAAGATATGTTATAGATTGTTATTGCACAAAGTAAAAGTCATCTTTTCCCACCTCAACCTCTGCCATGAAGGCATCTAAAGGGTCATCTTCGCTATCTGAGCCACCACCGCCACTCGACTGCATCTGCTGCCGTGTGGGTGAGTTCTCAGCAGGAATGTAGGGAAGGTCGGCATTGCTACTGGACTCTTCTTCATCATCTTCAAAGTACCTAAACAAAAATGACAAACAAAGCATTTAATATTTGCAATATTTTATTGTTTATTTTTCTTTTACATTTTATTCAAATATTGGGAGTTTATGTGTATAACTGTGGATTAATCCAGAGCAACTGTATCTTACGCATTTTCTTCATCAAAAGTAGCTTTTTTGGATCCTATTTTATAGAAAGATGGAAGCTGTGGGCTTTTTCCATAACCCCCACTTGATCCAGAAGATCCAAATGCTGTTTGAGATCTTGGAGGAACGTTAGGCTCCTCTTTTTTTCCTGCAAGGGAAAAACCTCCAAAGCCAAACCCACGCTTCACTCCTTGCCCACCTTTGTTCCAATTCATGGTTGTGCTGTGGGAAAAAAAAAAAAATCTTTATTAGACACATATTTGATCATCATGCTTGTCCATGGAAGAGATGATACATGTATATAGTTAATAATCAGAGTAGGAATGAAGAGAACCTAAAAGAGTTTGGTCTACCAAATGCTAGGGTTGGGAAGTTAATTGATTAATCAAATTTTCTGTTTGTGAAAATTACATTTTTTTTTTTAAACCAATGCACTTCATAGGACTTCCATAGCGTAGGGGTACAAAAAGTGAATCACTTTTCTTAGATGTGTATTTATAGCAAAATAAATGCTGGTGGTGTTACAGAGTCAGCTAGTTTATCTAATATATTTGTATAATTTGATGTGACACGTTGCTTTAAAAGCATTTTCACAGCTTGAATTTTGTATTTTATCATCAAACTTTAGGGACACTTGACGTTTTATGGAAAAACACAGTTTCAAAATGCAATTTAAGAAATATGTACCGTTTAGCAGTGGCTACAATGGCGCAAACAAATGTGAGTGATGCAGCAAAGCAGTATTTTTAAGTGGAGATTTGACAATATGCAGTGATAAATCTAAGTCTGAAGATTTTTACAGTTATTTTAGTATATTTATTTGATCACCATCGCAACTGAAGTACGACAGAGTCCATTCAGTTTACGGTCGAGCTAAAATTATAATTCGGGATTATATTTTATCCAGCTACAGATTCTATAGCTAACTTTAGCCACTAGACTAATAATATAGCAATGAGTTTGGTCACATTGATTAAATATATATTTCAAACAAGACATCACTTTTAAAAACGACTGACGCTAACGATAAAACGACCCTAATAGCATGATTATATGTCTATATGTACTATTAAAATGATATTTTATAGAAGAAAAATAATACGTTAAAACCTTCAATCTTCATAATACCGATTAGATTTTCGGGGTACAACACAACATGTTAGCATTAGCACAAGGCCGCATCAGGGCCGAGGCTAAAGCTCTATATTTTGTTGAATTGTGCGGCCTTTATAAAAAAAAATACGGTAGTTATGGGGCAAAATGGAGAATTAAAAATTGTATCAGTTAATCTACGACAGATAAATGTGCATTTGTTTACCTGATTCTGAAGACAGTAAATGTTTCTGTGTTTCTTTTAGAACCCAGTGGGCGTCTGCGTCATTTACGTGTTACGTCACTATTTGTACGTCTGGTACGTCAGTCCAGAAGCGTAGAGGTGGCTGCAGAAACATTATACAGGCAACGGATTGAGCAATAAATAAGGCTACTTAATAATATTTTATTTCTTCAGCTATACCGTATTTGTCCTCATAAGACGTCGGTAGGTAATTATATAGAAAATAATGCTATTTACCGTTGTTATACTAAGTTAGGGTATTTCCTTTGGCCAATTGTTGTTAGCTGATGCTAGCCCGCCCTGTTTCACATCATAATGCAAACATTAGAAAAGCTGTTCTTTGTAAGAAAAAAAAAACTTCTTTCTTTATTTGCGTATAACGTTTGCTATTACCAAACACGTTTTCATATGTTTTATAGCTTTTTTGTAAGATACTAAGCGTTCTATTAAAGCTAAACCACGGGAAGGTGCCAGCTCCTTTTCTATTGCTCTTCGGGGTTTTAAATGGAACAGGAAAAATTCAGTGTTTGCCTTCATGTTTACTCTGCAAAACCCTGATCAGGTGTCCTCTATTTTCCTATCACAGTGTTTTGTCTTTTCTTTAAAGTGGATCCTTTTGCCGTAAAATGTTCATTCAAAGACTTAGGAGTCATTAATGACTTAAGTAGCTGCTGGGCATTTTAGGATCAGGCTTTTTTGTTTGACTTTTGTCATACGTAGTTGGACAGTTAAAAATGTATTTGTAATACGTTTGTTGTGCTGATATCATGTCAATATTGAGCAGAGGTTTGATTTCATGGCATTTACACACACACACACATGCTAATGTATTTATGATCTTATTGCACAAAATTATAATAATCCTCTTATCTTTCAAGTTTGGTTAGCTTACAGTTGAAAACTTATCAGGCATTGAATTTGTTGCTGTAGTTTTAAAAAAATTTTCCTTCCTTTTTTAACTTCTTTATTATCCATAACATGCTGTTCCATGCATTTAATGAACAGCCAAGACTCATTATTTTCCGCACAGGGAAAAGGAAAAAAGTGTTCTTTCAGCCAGCTGATTGGCAGTGTGAAGCATAAGATGGGCGGGGCTCTGTTATTCTATGCTCAATGTAGCTACTCTTAAACCGTAAGTGTGGTAATATTTAAGCCACTTTCCTAAACCCTAGTAACACCAATACTGGTGATTGCGACACAAATAAATCAAAGATACAAATAAAACTGACATGTCTAAGAAAATATGTGAACCTTTAATTGAACTTTAGTCTCCAAAGCCGAAAAATTTGCTGCATTTATTGATTATGAAATTGAAGGCAACTCTGGAGGCCAAGGCAAATTATGCAAACATAAATAAATACACACATAAACTAAGAAAAAAATCTAACAACCATAAAGGCATTTTTAAAGTCTGCCAGGCAATGGTGAAATAAGTGAAAAGTGCTTGTTAGTGGGACCATAGCTACATGATTTTCTCACCAGTGTCTTAAGAATAAATATTTTTTTCTCTGGAGAGTCACTGTTTGTGTTTGGAAATGTGTAAGGCAACCAACAAAACTGTGAATGGTTGTGGTAAGTCAGCATCAAAAGGAACATTTGTAGCAAGGATGAAAAATCTATTCCCTTTTATCATGCTTTATTTTACAGATATTGACTAAGGGAGTTTATTTCAGCATCCCATGTAACGGCTAACTCAGGAGGATCAATGTCTTTTCTTGTAAGTGTTTGCCAAGTGCTTTTATTTATTGATGATTGGTTTTTACACTGCTTTCCAGTATAATAATTAAACCTAATTCCCAGCCAGATATTTCTAACAATTTAAGTCATGTAAAAGCAAGGCCAATCTCTGTTCGAATAACTGTTGCTGAGTTGTATTAACCACTGCAGTCAGTCATTGACACTGTTTTTTTGTTTTGTTTTTTTTACCCTGTGTAACATTTCTTCCTGTTCTTGCATTATTTTGTTCTTTTTTTTTCATGCTTAACATTAACCTCTTTTATCTGTCAGCGCTGGGTTACTGAGAAACTGAGTGTGGAGAGCCTCAGAGATCTGGAGTTATTTGGAGGTGAGGTTCAACTTTTATTTTTAAGGCTTTAGCGCCCTTTAAACCTCTGGCTGTAGTTTAGTTTTTTCATGAGCAAAAAAAAAAAAAAAAGACTCAGTTGTCTTTTTGTTTTATGTAAGCTTTCCCCTTAGTTCTTGCTGTGCTCTGTTTTTCAAAGTCATTTAAATTTTGTTATGCATCATTTTGCCTAATCTTTTTTTTTTTCTTTTTTTAAACTTATTTTGCCTTTAGTTTGTTTTAGTATTTCGTTGGAAAATAAAGCAAACACAACTTTCTTCTAATTACATTCTAATGTGTTAGGAGAAATTCAATTTGGTTTGTTGGTATTAACATAGCCGTGAAACACAATCATTATTTATTTAAATAAAAATCCTCATAAAAAATGAATATTCTAACTTGGTAATATTTATTAGTTGAGAAGATTTATGTATCCAATACATATTTATTGGTCCATAACGCAGACAAAATTGATTATATTATATATTTTTTATTATTATTATTATAATAATGGATTATTAGAGAACTTTCAAACAGTCATAAAGAACCAAGAGATCATAAAAAAGGGACCCTTTTATTAACTTTTTCCTATAAAATTCCCAATAATTGCTGTTTTTCAGAAATTAGGCTTAACCTCAAGTCTTTTCGTTTGTGAGATGAATAAATATTGTGAGCAATTTATTTTCAAAATTCCTCATACAGCTTAGGAAACTCACATCCGATGTTTTACTATTGATTAGCAGTAAATGTATTAGGTCAAAATATCATAATTGGGATCATTAAGCTTCATGTTTCCCTGCAGTCAGACTTTTTTTCTTTTTTTTGCAAAATTGCTGGATTGGATTTTTTTTTCATTGCAACTTTCTCTCCTTTTCTTTTGATTTCATCATTCACTGTAGCTGCATGTTTGTACAAATTGCTCCTTTGTTTTGGCTGCTCATGAATATCATTGCTTTACATAAAGCTCCAGTCATAAGATTATTTATAACCATTATGAGCATAAATTGAATAAACTTTGCACTGCTTTTGGTTACAGTAGAGGAAGAGAAATTTCCTTTATTGCTCCAAAATGAAGAAATTTAGGTTTGAAGGGGCTGCACAATAGAAAGCAAATGAAATGTTATGGCAACATGATAATAAGCACTTCCCAAATAATAGCTCAGATTAAATGTTTTAGTGTACGATTATTGTAACAAAAGACACTTTTTTTTGGGAGTGGAGAGGGCAGTTCTTTTCAAAAATATGTGAACATCCTCCACTATACCTTTAAAGGACAAGTATTCCAGTAGTGAAAAATGATCAGGTTTGATACATTAACAGTCCTAAATTAGTAAGTAATTTATGCTCATGATGAGTGTATTTAAAATTCTGACTGAAACTGTAATACCTGTCAAGAAACTGCAGAGTAGCTTTATAAGTTGCGTTTTCCATTAATTGGGGTGGTTATTTTTTGAATTGCGATGAGCGTATTGGTTTAATGAATCAAAATATCCTGGAGAAGAAACTTCCATCATGTAGCAGCTGTGTTTACCAGCTGAAAACAAACCCCTGTAAACACAGATCCTTCTCTTGTTTTCTTTGTATATACGTATTTATGTCATTCATATGGTTTTTCTACCCCAGAGCAAGCTCAGGGACTCTCACACAGGAAAGTAAGTGCGGTACTCCTGTCACTGCATCATCATCGTCACCTTTCATGTGCCTTTTGTGTACGTGCGAGCATGCACTCATACAGTACGTATGTGCGCACTCAGATTTCTATTTAGAAGAGTTCATGGTCCCTCAAGGCTTTGGACATGTTTGTATGCATGGGTGTCCAGTTCATGCTGCACATGCTTGTTTTATTGATGGTCTTCTCACTTCACAAACAAGTTTTTCTGTTTCATAGTGTATTAGATTTCCCTCACAGTAAGGATTCACTTTTCTAGTGAAGCCTATAAAAAGGTTAAGATCTGAGTAATTTGTGTATTTTTGTTGCCTCACTAAAAGACATAGCTTATTGTTTAAAGAAACTGATATTTCTTGAAGTGCCAGCATACAGTTTGTGTTGTTTGTGTACGTACATATGGACGAAATTTCGTGCTTTGAGCTTTTGAAGTTCATGACAGTCCGTTTTTGGTCTGATCAGTGATCACCAAGGACATCTCCGGTGTTCTCCATTTCTTCTGACAAGATTTACAGAAGTTTCTTTAAACTGCGGCTGCAAGAGCATGTTTGACCTTCCTGCCAAGACAGGTTTACTTTGGGCTTCCTGTTGCACAAAGCTACACCATTTGTGCTTTGGTTTATGGAGCAGTCTTTGGTTTTATCTGTTAGATTCTTTACCAAGATAATTCCAAAGATTTGCACTAATCAGAGTCCAAATGGGAATCTTTATTTTGATGATCATGGAATCATTTTAAAGGGTCATACATCTGCCTTCATCTGCCCCGCCAGCTTACTGCTGCAGTCAGTTAATTTCCATCATTTTAAAATCTATAATTTGATGGAAATCAGGAGTCCTCACTGCTAAGAATGTTTTCTTTTTCTTTTATTTTAGTTTTACAGAAATGAAAGAAATAAAACGATAAGAACAAAAGACACTAAAAACTAAATACTTCTAATTAAGATTTGCTCTCAGAAGGTTCCACAGATAGATTATTGTGGCTGCTGATGTTTTAGTTGAGCTATTTTTTGAGAACTGCTTGGATTTACTGATATGATGGTGGTTCTTACTAATGTTTAAATCCACTAATGTTGTCTGCCTAATGCTGTAGAGTCTGTTGTCTTTCATGGTGGTTAAAAGGTTATAGGTGAATCATATTAAGCTGAAAACAATGCTCATCTCCTTTTTTTTTTGTCTTTTTCTTTATCTGTCCCTCCTCTAGCCCCATGAAGAAAGTCAGGAGAGTCTGACCTCCCTGCCCCGTCGAGACACCATGGGCTCATACCTCCCAGACAGCAGCTCATATGAACTGCTAACTGTCATTGGTAATTAAAAACATAAATATTTGCACTTTCTTGCCTTTAGCATGAACAGTTTTTAACAGACGTTGACCTGCAAGGGAGTTTTCTGTTCCCTTATCAACCATCCAACTACAGCAAATGCATGAAAATCTTTAATTTAACCAGGCATTTGATTACTTTGCTAATTCTATGAACTGCAAATATTGACTTAGTGTTAAAAGAATACAGCATTAGGTGGAGATCTAAGAAGGAAAAGTTCAGATTTTCTAAGGCTGGCTAGACCCTCTAGAGAGGATTTTACAAAGAAAAAGAAAGCAGAGAACCCCAAGCTTCCTCTTCTTCAGACTGCCCTGCACAATAGAGTCTAAAGTTTCAGAGCCAGAGGCTTCATCAGATCCACTGTATGGCATACGGCTACAGAAGGGCCTAATTATGCCTTCAGACAACAACATCTACAACGACTCATTGAGTATTGAACTCACAGCTACATTTAATCTCCTTTTGGGATTAATAAATTATTTTTTAATATAATTTGCATAGGACTAGTATGATTATCTTTTTTTAAGAGATAAATGGATTTCTGTGAACCTTTAAATTAATATTATGGTGAAACAGGACTAACACAAAAAAGTATACTGTAAACAAAAAATTAATTTAGTGGTAAAATTGTAAGTAATCAATGATTTTTATATTGTGTTATTAAATGTGGATTATTTATATGTATATAAAGTACATCTGGGTTTTTCAATATTTTTTTAACTCCTTTTACTTTATACCTTTAAAAATATAAATATATTTAGCTTTTTGCACATAACCATTGAGTTCAAAGATCATTTTGCATCCTTTGTTAAACTGAAGCACATTTATTTTGTCAGGTAAGGGTTTGGACGACCTGATGACTGTAAATCTGGCGCGATACAAACCCACCGGGGAACATGTGGCCATTCGTCGAATCGACTTGGAGTCATGCACTAATGACATGGTCACCTATCTGCAGGTCTGCAGAATCATTTCTCTCATTCCTTTTGTTTTAATCTCAGTGCTTTAGTACGTAATCCCATTTTACCTACAGTGAGATGAAGGAAGATTTTCCTTCTTGCATATTTCTACAGAATTTTTTTCTATTGACATTGTTTAAATGATCACATTTTAATGCCTGCTAGAAAATAACCAAAGGAAATTTTATAAGTTTTCCAAACAAATTAAACCAGGCAGGTCTTAAGTAAATGTATTTGTACTATAACCCTACATAGCTGTGGCCCATGATGTTTGAAAATGTCTTTTAATCAATGTGCTGTTAATTTTTTTTTTTTTTTTTTTTTTTTTTTTGGAAAAAAGGGTTTTTCATTGGAACATTGGAAACTGTTTGTGT